CTCATAGCCCCTCATTGGCCGAGACGCCCGTGGTTTGCAGATCTCATGAGCCTATCTGTAGCCACCCCGTGGCGGATACCTCCAGACCGGATAGCACTCACTCAGGGGGCGCTCCGCCATCCAGATCCTCAATGGCTACAGTTAACCGTATGGCGATTGAGTGGAGACGCTTGACTACGGAGGCTTATTCTCCGAGGGTCATTGATATCATCCAGGGTCTAGGCGTCCCTCAACAAATAGAGTTTATGACTCTACTTGGAGGAGTTTTACATCTTGGATGTCCAAGCATCAGGTACAGTTCTCATCTCTCACTGTACCTTAGGTCCTACAGTTTTTGCTGGACGGGATGGACAAAGGGCTGTCTCCTAGTACTCTTAGGAGACAGGTGGCGGCTTTAGCCACGGTTCTTTACGACGACGCTTCCTCTCTTGCTCACCACCCTATGATTCGTTCCTTTCTTAAAGGAGCAGCTAATATAAAGCCCCCAACGGTTCATCGCTATCCTTCCTGGGATTTGTCAAAAGTTTTACAGGCCCTTACCGGGTCACCCTTTGAACCTATTCGCTCATGCGATCTCAATCTGTTATCCATGAAGGTGGCTTTTCTGGTGGCAGTGACATCTGCCAGACGCATTTCCGAATTGGCTGCTCTTTCGGTGAGGGAGGATCTTTGTTTGTTTCGCCCTGACTGTGTAATTTTACGCTTGGATCCCACATTTGTTCCTAAGGTGAATTCCTTGTTTCACCGATCACAGGAAGTGGTGTTGCCAAGTTTTTGTCCTCGTCCATCTAGTGACTTGGATCGCAGATGGCACACTTTAGATGTTCGCAGAGCACTTCGCATTTATATTAAGAGGACATCTTCTTTCCGTAGATCGGAGGCTCTCTTCGTGTCATTCGCTCCGACCTCAATGGGTCTCAAGGTCTCTTCTACCACCATCGCTAGATGGATAAAGGCTTGTATTGCTAGAGCATATCAATCACAATCATTGGCTGTGCCGTCACGTATCACAGCTCACTCTACTCGCAGCGCGGCCACTTCTGCTGCCTGGGCTACTCAGGCGCCTATCGGCGACATCTGCCGGGCGGCGACCTGGTCGTCCCCTTCGCCATTTATCCGTCATTATAAAATAGTTTTGCTTCTGCTGATGCTGCTTTTGGCCGTCGTGTATTACAGCGGGTAGTTTCTTCTCCTGCATCACGTGCCCCGTCTGTTAACCCTCCCTAGGGACAGGCGAGCTTTGGTATGTCCCAATCATGTGTATTATCCATCCCTCATGCTGGAGAAGGGGCGTTGGTCTTACCTGAATGCCATTTCTCAGCATGATGATGGATAATCCACCCCCGCCCCTTTTTTCTTTTCATGGGTTCATGGGCACGGTGATAGGAGTCTGGAGAACAACACGCCTGACTTTGTCTGTTGCTTCGCCTCCGTCGGAACTGGGCATGTGCGGCCAGGCAGGAGGCGTGGCTATCTCAGACTTAGTCTTATTGGGTACAAGGGACTTCAGGAAACCAATCATGTAGATTATCCATCATCATGCTGAGAAATGACGTTCAGGTAAGACCAACGCCCCTTCTGTGGAATCTGACAAGTCATTTGGATATATATACAGCTTGCCACTCCTGTATTTAATAGCCAAAAAAAAAGTCCAAGTGAGATTTCATGCCAGTTTTCTTAGAAAGGACACATCAAAGATCATCTTGAAAGCCCAATATCTGAGGCAACATTCCTAATGCCCAGGTTTTCCTTGCACCCAGCAAATAATGCTTGACAATAGGGAGGGAAAGGCAGGGAGACCCTGGGATTTTTATTTATTTAGCTTGGAGAAAGTGGTTTAGTTCTTGAAAAGTATTACCAGAAGAGAGTTGTGTGGACTGAGGCATGCAACCAGGCATACTATATTTGTAAGTTGCAAAAGCAGGATTGTGGCATCAGCATAATTCTGTGTTTGCTCATGTTAGCTGTCTCTCCACTAAGGCCAGAGTTGAGAGAGAGGAGTAACTTTCAAAGGAAAAGGCAACAAGCTGTTACTTGTTATGCATTAACAAGAATAAAAGAGCTGTCTAATTAATGTTACATCTCACCATGCTTTTAAATGAAAATCTCATTCTTTGCTACATCCTGTTTTATAGGTATTAGTAGGTTCCTAGGCAACACCTAACTAGCTCTCAGTAACTATCTCAAGGTGGGAGGCAGCCTCACACTTGGAAGGGGAAATCTTTTTTATTTAGAGTAGAGCCCAGCAGCATTTTTATATTCTCCAGGCTGATGGATCAGAGACACTAGGAGCCATTAGCTTTGTTTATACAAACCCAGACAAGTTGAGATCACTATATATCAATGATTCCTTACTTGTGTTAAGCAGTGAAGAGATCTGCTTTCTTTTTCCTTGCCCACCCCCTCGTCACAGGCAATTTTTCTACTCCAATTAATGAGCAAACATATGAAATTCCTGCATCAGTTACCCCTGGAAGGATTTTTCAGCCTGCTACTGAGCTGTATCTAAGTGGCTAAATGAGGAAGATTGACAGACCCAAGTTTTGGAACTTTAGTACGTTTAAGGCTAGGTTAGTATTGTCCATTGGAGATTCCTGCTTATTGTATTAGAGAACAAAGACCCTCCATGTTCCAGCAAATTGAAATATATGAGGAAGACTATTCTTAAGAGTTGGTTTGTGATCTGCTCTTCTGTGGAAAGTTCTGCTCTAGATCATGATGGCATGAAAGTAATCAGCATTTTCATGTGAAGGTTCTGTTCTCCCACAGAAGAGTTTGTAATATGCCTTGATATCAGGAAGCTGATTCAGTTGTCTTTTTGCACTATTACATAATTAAATGGGTCTTCTCTGTTGAATCCTGGTCCAACATTTCTTAGAGAAGACATAGACATTTTATGGCCTCCGGGCCACATCAGTTCTTCAGCTGTCCCCTGTGCGGGCCATGTGAGGCAATTGGAAATTAGAAATCAAATGTAGATAAGCATACTGCAGAGGACAGAAGAAGAAGCCAAGTTGGGTCCAGCACTACACAGTTGCTGTGTGCTCCTTCAGTCAGCTGTTGGCTTCAGGAGGATGAGGGGAGAAAGTGTTTTCTACTTCTGTGCAACACTCACCCCTCACCTGCAGGAGCCTGAGGATTGAGATGATGAATTTTGAGGACATCAAATCAGGTTACATTGGTTCGGCCTTCCACAACAGTTCATTTTTCATGTGGCCCCTTAAGAAGATTAATTACCCACCCCTGACTTAAAAGAGAATTGGAATTTGGAGAACTAGTTTGGTGTAGGGCAGCAGTCCCCATCCTTTTCAGCTTGGCAGCCCAGTGTGGGAGGGGGGGCTTGCAAGTGGCAGGCACACACAGCTGCATTGGTCTGGGTGGTGGATGCGCATGCATGTCCCCTACTCTCTCAAATGGAGCTTCATGCCCGAGCACAAGCACCTTCCACTCAATGCAAGTGATATTTTCTAGTGCAAGGGCCCACCACTTGCACAAGTGGAGTTTCCTGTGCAAGCACAAGAGCCCACTGCTTGCACGAGTGGAGCTTTGCGCTTTCATGTGCTTGCCCCCCCCTCAAGTGAGTGGAGCTTCACGGAAGTTGGGGACCCCCGAGTTAAGGCATCAGGCTAGAAACCAGGAGACTCTGGGTTCTAGTCCTGTCTTAGGTATGGTTCCAGCTAGGTGATCTTGAGCCAGTCACTTTCTCTCAGCCCTAGGAAGGAGGCAGTGACAAAACACTTTTCAAAAACCTTGCAAGGACTTGTCTGGGCAGTCTCCAAAAATCAGACAAGATTGATTGGAAGAAAAACAGAATTGGAATTCAGACTACAACTGAAGTAGCCACTCTTAAAATAATAGTTTTTTTCCTAGAAAAAGGTGATTCATTGATGGTATGATAATAGAAGGACAACGACGACAACGATAACAATGACAAACTTGTCCATGCATTGGATTTTGCCATTTTTCTTTGACAGTTCAGATTTATATGCCATCAGATGCTCAATTTTATCCACATCTTAAGAAACTGAATCTTCCTCAGGAAATTATACTGATTCTCAGCCATACTGGCTATCACTGAGATCTGTGGGGGTTAAAAGTCCATATAGATTAATGGTGCCACATTGGTGAAGACTACTCTATTGCATGGAAATATATTTGAGCCAGAAATGTATAAAATACCTTCTCCTTGAGTTCTCTTAGGTGTTTAATTTTAGCCAGATTGAGTTTTCAACATTCTCCTCTGCTAGTAGAGAATTGAAGTCTAAAATGTGAATTTAGTTATCCTATCCTACCTCAAAAGAGTATATTTGTAGAAGAAACTCGATATGGTTATTTGTAAGGGATATACACTGAATCATTTCCTTTAAAGACTTCCAAATTCCAAAAACATGCTCCAGAGTATATGGGAGCACAAAAGTGGCTCCCGTTTCCAGCTCTTTAAAATAGCATTGTCATTTTCTGTGATCACAAAGCTGCTTGGAGGAAGTTGCAGACACATGTCTCTGCATGCTGCAAAACATTCCCATTAAGCTGAATCTAAAGGATTACACAGCCCTGAAAAAAATGTTTTGTAGTTGTAACCTATCTTTACCAGGAAAAGCAGGATTGCAAGTTCATCTGTATAATATAGAGAATCTTTGACCTAAAGACCGTTTGTTCAGCAACTGTTCAAAATTATGATGGTGCTGAACAAAAGAACATATCACCCCCTCCCAAAGGAGTCTTTTTGCCCTGTACTTCATTAATTTCTCAAAAAGAAAATAAAGCTTTATGGCTAGATAAATGATGCCTTTCAAGTATCTTAAATGTAGATGTGGATAACTGGATAATTCAGAAACTTAAAATTACCTATATTAGGAAGTGAATAAGGCAGGGCTGCGATGAAAAAATAACTACTGTTCTTAGAGAGCTGTCTGGCCTCTTTATGGAGTGAGCCAGTAGGACAAGTTGGCAAACTTCAGCCCTGTTCCGATCCTAATCTTCTCTCATGGCTTTTTCAGATAGAGGATATGTCCGATGCAGCCTTTGCCACTCTCCATGCTAAGTGTGAGGAAATGGAGCGAGCCAGGTGGTTGTGGAGCACAAGTTTACCACCACAACGGCGAGGTTGCAGGTAAGACTGGCTGCTGCTTCAGAAGCAGAGTGCTTATCAACCTAAAAGCTTTAGCTGTAAGCACCTGCTCTTAACTTTTCAGCAGCATTGCAGTAAATATCATATCCCTGTTGAGTTCTAAACTGATCCAAAGCTCATTTGGGTATGAATAATGGGAAGTTGCAGACAAGCATTTCCTGGTGCTAAAGTCTTTTGCACTGGTGAGAATTCTTCCTTCAGTAAATAAAGTTGATCTGCATTTGTATGAGTGCTACTGATACTTCGGGTATTATTTTCCAGGAAGAGTTCAGAAGCTTTACAGTCTTAATATGATTTGGGAATCGCATCTGCTACAAAGTATAATAGGATACATCCCTGTTCCAAGAAATTTAGAGCCTGAACTTCAGAGAAGTAGAAACAGTAGGGAAAAAGTGGAAGTTGGGATAGAGAAAAGATATCTCAGCTACTATTGTTTCATGTGTGAAGGTGCTTAACAGTTTGTGCCTTTTGAATTTTCAATATTTCTGCATAGAAATGATCTAAAAAAAGATGTATTCTCCATACAAGTCCTAAAATTAGATAAAGAGAACCCAATGAAACAAATGAATGAAAAACAGTATATCTGTTAATTTATTTATCGGGGGAATAATCTAAAACCACAGATTTGTATTTGGCAGAAATATGTGAATCTCTAGAATTATCAGTTTGTTTAAAGGAGAAATTGGGAGTTGTATTTCAATAAATGAGGAACAGTGCGATGGCTCAGCGGTTAAGACGCTAGCTTGTTGGCTGAAAAAGCTGCAGCCCTGGTTCGACACCCAAGCGCCAGAGTGACAGGGCAACCCCCCATCCACACCCCAGCTTCTGCCAACCTAGCAGTGTGAAAGCAGGCAAATGTGAGTAGATAAATAGGTTAACAGTGTTCTGTTACTTAATGTGGCCACATGATCACAGAAATGTCTTCTGGCAATGCTGACTCGGAGATGAGCCCCCCCCCCCCCATTGGCAACAACTAGCAGAGTAAAATCCACAAGGACTCGTTTACCTTTTCTTTTCATTTCAATCAGTGAGGTGACAATCAGATCTGAGTATGAGAGATCCTGTTTTATTTAAGGAGGGCAATTACGGTATTCACTATCAAAGTCTGATCTTCTCAATAGGTTCATGACTGTGTTATGATTCAAACAAAGATTTCTGAGGACCTTTGGAAAACAGTTTTTGATCTCACTAGACTAGAAGAGATTTTCATACTATTTTCAAAGAGCTTGGACTTCACCAGTCCAATGTCAAGTAGATGGTGTTGAATTGCTTCCATTGGTATATTATTGTTAGTTTCCCCAGATTGATTGGCCAACCAAGACCACAGTGAGAGCAAACAACCCCAGGGTAGTGTCTAAGAAATTAAGGGCCGATCTTTCATAGGTGAGTGTCAGTATTTGTGAGACCATCCTCAGGAGAACACCAAATAACAATGGTATGCATGGCAGAGTTGTAAGGAGAAAGCCAGTACTCTTCTCCCCCCCCCCCCCCCAAAAAAAAAGATGCTCATGTATAGTTCACGAAATACCATCTGGATGAGCCTGAAGGCTGTTAGAAGAATGTTCTGTGGGCAGATGAAATGAAAATTACATTTCTTTTGACTGGAATAAAAAGTGTTATGTTTAGTAAAAGGCAAATCCTGCCTTCCAGTATGAGAATCTTCCCCATCTTTGAAACATGGCAGATCATGGTTTGGGCTTGCTTTACTCTTTCTGGATCAGAACAGCTTGTCATTGTTGAAGGAACTGTTCTGAATTAAATCAGCAAATTTTATAGAAAAAAGCCAGGCTATCATCTGTGCACTAAATCTCAGCTGGTTCATGAGCATGAGGACGATGACTCAGAACATGTTGCATGACCGAAGAATGGCTAGAACAGAAGAAAGTTAATGTTTTGGAATTGCCAAGTCTGACCCCTGATCTTGATCCTATAGAAATGTTGTTGAAGGACTTGACGCAGACAATTCATGTGAGGAAGCCTACCAACATCCCTGGGTTAAAGCTATTCTATAAGGAGAAATGGGCTAAAATTTCTCCAGGCTGATTGCAGATTGATCAGTAGTTAGTGGAAACATTTAGTTGAAGTGACTACTGCCCACGGGAGGCACACCAATTATTGAAAGCAAAACCTTTGATACTTGCACATACATAACTCAAATATATAGTTTTGGATCATTTTCATAAATAAAATCTCTTTGATTCATTTAGTTGGGTTCTCTTTAGTTTTAGAATGTGTGGAGAACAGGTCAGGTTCTAGGTCATATTTATACAGACATACTGAACGTTCAAAAGGGTTCATAAACTTTAAAAGCACCGCTGTAATTGAGTTCTTGAAATAATAAAAGGGTTCGTGTCAAAAGCTTTTGAAAGAAGGACAGATTCAGAAAGTGGGGAAGACATAAAAGAGAGATAAGCCTTTTCAGAAAAAAGGGGATCTTGTGTGAAGAGAGAATGACCATCATGGGCAGAGATATATCCAAGAGAAGAGGGAAATGATAAGGATTATGCCAGGATTCTTTAGAATAGAGGACTTTTCATTGGCAAGTACCTATTTATTTTCCTGGTTTCATTTACTATTTCTACACTTCACTTATGACTTGTCTGGATTAAGATGCGAAAACGTAATAGGAGATTGAAGAAAAATTGTACCAATTAATAATTGCCATCCTTATATATTGGTATTTTAATTTTAATTTCAGGTCAAACAGGTCTACAGATGGGTGGACAACCCCACAGTTGGGGAATCCATCTACCCCACAGCCAGCCTCACTTGATGTTGGCAACTGCTGTCTGCATTCTGATTTCTCCTATCTACACTCTCCACGCAGCCCCATCAGTCCTGACCTGTTCTCTGGACCTCATATCCCTTTGTCCCGAGAATCCACGTGGCATCTATCAACAGAAGACACACGTTGTTCCACACCGGATTCTGGCCTTGATGAGCAAGTGAGTGAATGAATCCCTTCTGGCATTTAATGAAACAACCCGTGACTTTGTTAGCCTTGTGAGGATCGCCTCTGTTAATTTGACTTTTTGTTTACCTATAAAGATTGAAAGCATTCTTGGTTTAGTTATTTCCCTGCCCCCAGATTTAGGGGATTGAAAATTGCTTTTAGTTGCAGTTCTATTCAGAAAGGATATTTCTGGTTTCTAGATTGGGTCTTGTATCCATTAGTCTTGAGTGTTAATACGCAGCAGTATGCTTCATTGCTCTAGCTGCTCAATGTCTTTCATTCCAAGGGCTTCCAGATAAGATGCAATGGGACACAGAGGCAATGAAGCTACCAACTGTTCTGCTTTTTCTTCCCAGACTATATACCCCTGGGAACGCCGCACTTTCCCACTGTCTTACAATGCCAAGATGGAGTGTGAGGAACAGACAGACCCACAGGACCGGTCATCACGTTGCACGCGGCGCACATCTGGCAGCAAGCCCTCCCGAGAACCAGACACGGCCTCCATCTCACCTTCCCTTGCTTGCTTCAAGAGCCGGAATTCAGGGGCCACAGCCACAGTTCAGCGGCCGGCCCACAGATAAGAGAGGGACAGAAAAATGGAGCAAAAAGAAAAAAAAATCCACCAAATTAACTCTTGGCATTAAAAGTTTCTGAAATCTGTGTTTGATATTCAAACATTCTGCCGGGAATTTTCACAGTTTTTAGTGAATCTAAGGAGTTTAGAAACTGTTTTCTTTCTTTCCTTCCTTCTCCCCCCCTTCTTTCCATGTTTCTTTGTCTCAAACACACCTTATCCAGTGCTGTGGATGAGGAGAGTAAACCTGCCACTCCCTCCCTGATCGCAGTATACACTCCTCAGAAAAGGGAGTGAAGCAGGCTGGTTGACCCTGGAAAATTAGTTCACTGGTGAAAGGATACTTCTCATTTATTTTCTTTCTTTTACTGTTTAATGTCTGTTTTCCTCACCTGCCAACATCATGGTGCCCTCCCTCACCCTTAAAAGTTTAGTGAAGTGAAATTAGTGATAACAAGTGATGTTAACTGAACGAGAAGTTCCCTCCCTCCCCCCCCCACCCACTGGCACTAGAAAGCACTTGCAATGCAAACTCAAGATCACTTGGTTCCTTAAGGATAGCTACCCATTGTACCAACTACCAACAAGAAGCTCTTCTCCAGCAACCTTGATATGTTCTGGGGTTTTCTGCTCCTTCTGAGACTGTCTCTCCATGTTAAATAAGAAGTTCAGTTGTGCGAGAAAAAGCATTTTTCCATTATCAGCCTAGATATGTTTTGGATGTGTTATTCATATTGTGTTTTGTTTTTTAATGGCAGATTATTAGTGGGGATAAGGCTGACAACCATTCATTTCAAGAGGAACATTTTTTTCATGCTTTTTTTTTGCTGGATGTGATCTAGGATTACTTTCTTTCCTTTTCCTGTTAATTACTAACACTTCTGTGTTTTCTTTTAATTTTGCATTCTGTCCATTAGTTTGAAAGCTGTAGGTTATACATCTGCAGCTAATAGATTGCAATACAGTAGTGTTGAGCCTTAAGTACTGGGAGCGATGTCACAGGATTCAACAATTTGCCACCCCAGATCCACAAGCCATAGAATGAGTGTGATATAATCTCGTTGTTCTCTTTTCTTTCACCCTCTGTTAAAAGTAGTAGTCTATGCATTGCTTGAGATTGCATTTAAATTTGAACATGTCTGAGTACCAAAATATTTGTTTTTTCCAGAGAAAGATTGGATATTGTTTTTCACCTCTACCTCTTAACTCGACTGAAGCTTACAAGTTTTGAGGAAGAAATGAATCTCAGTCATGTCGTCCCCAGTTTCTCCCCCCCCCCCCCATGGCTTGGGCTGAGTCTTGCCAAGCTGAACAAAGCTGAGGATTTTTTTTTTAATTATTTAAAAAGCAGTTTTGAGAGAGAACTGAATCTCAAGTTTTCCTGAAAATGGCTTGGGCTGACTTTTGCCAAACTGAACAGATCTGTTTTTTTGTTTGTTTGTTTGTTTGTTTTAATTTAAAGAGGTGATTTTGAGAGAGAAGTGAATCTCAGTCACGTTTTAATTTTTCCCTTGGCTGAATCTTGCCAAGCTGAACAGATCTGATTTTTTTTTTAATTTAAAGAGCAGTTTTGAGAGAGAAATAAATCTCGTCTTTTTTTTTCCCCCTAAAAATGGCTTGGACTGACTTTTACCAAGTTGAACAGATATGAATTTATTTTAATTTAAAGAGGCCACTGTCTTCAGTTCACATCTCTGGTCACTCCCATATTTTGCACACCAATCCATTGTAATGTTTTCCTAACCTTAGCGGTGTGGCTGTTGGTCCCTGTCCTGTTGTTAAGCATTGCGCCTGTCTTCTGTATTAATCACATCACCAAAAAAAGGAAAAAAAAACTTTTTTTCTCATTTTGTAATTGTAACAAAAATAGTAGCTAAACTGCTTAATGGTTGGGGTTTTTTCACAATTTTCAACATTACCTAAAGTTTTTGGTTCTGTTCTAGTTTTTTTTTTTTTTTTTTTTTACAAAAAAGGAAAAACCCAATGCTACTATATCCCTCTGCATTAAGTGCTTTTTTATTTATAAAGTTGAGAATTCTGAATAACCATCTTAGCGTTAAAAAGGAAAAAAACTACAAAAAATAAAAATAAAACCCACCTTGTATTTTGTAAATATTTCTTTTCCTGCTTCAAGCTGTGTAATGTCCTTGTTATATAGAAATGCTTTTCTTCAGAGAAGCTGATCTTTGTTTAATGTCTTGATTCTGTTGGCCAAAGCACCAATGTGTGCTTATAAAAAAAATTAAAAAAATTTAAAAGTTAAGTGCTATAATTTATTGGGGAATAATATGGGACGAATACATTGTGAGGCATTTAGAGAATTATGGAAACTATTTTCACAGAGCACAGTGGTTTCCATTTTGTAAAATCTTTTGTAAAAAGATTCTAAAATCTTTAAACAAATTTTAAGAAATATTGATAGTGTTTCAAAGAAATAGTGCCTTTTTCAGACAAGTGATTTAGCCAGGATTTTGAGAATTTTACTTTTTATGGTAGGTAAAGCAGCTGAATGAAAGGGAATGCCATTTATGGAATGGGCAGGTTAATGGTGTAAGAGATGGAAGGTGGAAAGACAATCACAGTAGTCTTAATCAGCCCAGCATGAGCACCATCCCATCCTTTCAGCAAAAGGAAAGTTGTTTTTTGAGTCGAGTTTAATTCTGATCATAAAACATTGAGTCTGGGCGCTTTTCTTAAAGGCAGTTTGGAAGACGTTTGCCCCTGCTTCTGTCTGGGAAGTTTTCTTCAACAAAGACAATACATTTAATATTGTAGTAATGACTTTTTTATTTCCAAATTCACTTTTACAGCAACAGTCAGTGTGAACCAATTGTTAAAACACACAAATACAACATGGACAGTTACAGACAGGTAGCTAAGCTAGGATGACCATACGGAGATCTCATGCCCTCCCCACCCCCTCCCAGTTTCCCCATCTCTGAAAAACACGTTTAAAAGGGATCATTGATGGTGTTTTCCAAACTCCATTGTCCCTTTTTTATACTTGCAAATTTATTTAATAAAGCCCCATTTTGTGAACTTCAAAACCAATATGTCATGTTTTAACACTTTTAAGCCCTAGATATGTATATTTATATACCAAGACAAGAAATAAGCCAGTCAGTTTAAGATGGCTTCGATCTGGAACCACCATGGGTCTTCACCATCTGGGGGAAAACGTCTGTGAATCCTAGAAGGACACAAAGACAATCAAAATACAGTTGGGAAATGGGACCTATGATCAAAAACAAAGGCTAAAACAGGGTAGGCGTAAGAATTCAGAACACTTAAATATGTGCGTAATGTTTGGGGAAGAGAATTTAAGCACTAGTAAAAATGTGAATGGAGGCAAGGCATAATTTTCTGAAAAAGGACTTGAGGACCAATACTCTTTCTAGAAATAGAGCATTTGCTCTTCACTGTTCAATGCTGAAGAAAGAAGTTATCAAATGGGGTGTTTTTTAGGCTTATGCTACTACAGTTGCTGCTAAAAGATATTCTAAGATTTTCCAGCCCAAAGACCTCAAATGCAAGCAAAAAGAAATCAATAGCATAGTGTAAAAGCTTCTCAGTGAGAGGATTTTTCTATTTGATTATTTTTAGATTTAAAAAAGAATAAACTTACCATCCTAACTTAACTACAGAGGTAACAACAGGCTTATAAATGACCGGAAAGTGACTGCTGATGTATAGATGAATCCTCTACAAAATCTCTTCTACTGGAGCACTATCTTGGAGTAAAATACCTCCTTGGCTCTAGAAGCTATCCATAATTATGCCCAACCACTCTCCCCTTCAGATCCCACAAGTTCTGCTTGTCAAAACTTTCTTCACATGATCCAGATGATTGATTAGTATATAAAAAAAGAGCAAACTGCAGCCCTCATTTGAACTGATGGGGCAAATGATTTCCCCTTGACCTTTATCTTAGTACTGAAAAAGGGATGGTGGTACCACCAATAAACATCATGTTTTACAGCAAATCTAAAGGGCAATGCTGCTGACCCAAGAATTATCAACTTGTGTGATTTGTTCAGCCAGGTGCTGCACCTCTACCCCTTCTCCCTCCCCCAGAATATGACAGGTATTAAGGATCATAACGCAAATGATAACAGCCGGGCCTTCTTTTAATTGGCTTGGAAAACGAAATTTTTTTGTTACCATGGATGCTCAATCTGTTGCCTACTAAGGTGTCCTGATTTTGGTAATTTCAGAATTACAGACTTGAAATCAGATCAATATGTTAAAAAATAGATTGCTTCCAGAGCAAACCAGTTTTCTTAAAAGCCTAGCACCTTTCAGCTTTGATCATTGTCAATTTTTGCTGTCAAATAAACACATGCAGACCAGATTTTTGAGTTAGCATGATCACCTTTGGTCACATGCATAAAACTACAGCATGCAGATAAAAACCAATCTCTTTATGATTTGGCTCATACTAGAAAGGATACAAAGTGGGGGGTTTCATTACAGTCCAAAGGGATGCCATGAACTCAGCTTTGAAAGGGATGATCACCAAGTAAATTTCCTACCATTGCTCTGAGTGTAGAAAAGCAGCCAAGAAAACAGAATTCAATAGCGATGAACCGCATAATGATTGTACACACTGCAAGCTTCAGTTATTGTGGAAAGAATGACATATCTGTAAAACCAACTAGATGTTCTTACGTGCTCTTAAAGCACTCCACTGTAATTGATCCAATACTCTTTCTTGTTCTACTCGCCCTATAAAACTCCGTATTTTTATGTTCTTTTTAAGTTTCATTCAAATCATCTTAAAAAAATGTCTTGGCAATTTCAAGCACCTATGGCTACATCTGGTAGAAAAGGACAAACCAGTTATTCACAATTTCTACTTAGTCTAATTTTGTTGCCCTTCGCAGATATATTTCACATAACATAGATGGTTGAAGGAGTATGTCTTGTTTTGAAATTAAAAAATGGAGAGCAAAGGAGAAGAGCCTTTTCACTTACAGTACCCTTACTGGAGCAAATCAGCAGCTTCTAAATATTGTTGGACTCTAAATTTACTCATAGTCACCATGACAGGTAATGCAAGAAGATGGGAGTTGTAATCCAGCAATATTTTCGTGGAACATCAAATATATCCCCTTAGCACAGAAAAATTTCTCCCAACAGCAAAAGCTTGTTAAATCAATGGTTTCATGGAACTTGCCTTATGAAAATTATGTTTCTTCACAGTGGATCAATTAAAGTCCACAGATCTTCAGAAATCAAATGTCCTTTTTAGAGGCAGTGCTTGCTGCATTACAGTAAGTGAGCTTAATAGACACACATCCCTCACAGCTAGTTCTTATTACAACTGTTCTGCTCTTGCTGAATTACAACTCCTAGCATCCCTAACAGCTTGATGGTTAGATTTATATAGTTGAGTGCACATTGTAATTCTGCAATATCTGAGGTGCTAAAGAGTCCCTTGAATAATGTACTAGTAACTGAACAGTAACTATTGAAAGGAGTGTTCTTGCTTCTGGCTATGATTTTTGATGTGTGATGCTTCTTTCAAATACACAAATATTACATAAACATGTTCTCTAAAGATGTATGAGATATAGGTCAAGATATACATGTTCCCACATCTGCTCAACTGGTGTCCTTCCACGCAATTGTCCTTCCTAAAAAACACCTGCATGCACCATAAATAAGTACATCAATTCCTTTATTTTTAAATATGCCTAGAGCCATACCTCTATCTCACAAATTTCTACATTTACAAAAAACATTAGAGCAACCAGGCCAATTGGGCTGAACACAAAGTCAAATCTGCTTCTTCCCTAGCAACTCTGGACAAGTTTTTATGGTGTGACAAAATCATGGAGCTTGAAGGTGAAGTGGGTGGAAGAGAGGCAATAGTTACTGTTTGAAAAAGAGAAAAAAGAATGTAACCGGTCCATTAAAATTAAAAACCTAGCATATAAGAAATCAAGTCCAATTATTTTAGTAGGTAGACTACAATCTAAAGTCAAAGGTTGATTTTAGGTACAGACAAAAAATGGATAAGCTATTGCCTTTAAAATATATCATTTCCATTAAAATAAAGAGAACTGGCATTCTGCAGGCTTTCAAGGCAGTTTTGGCTTATGTCTTAATTATCCAAAGCATGCAGTTTAGTTATATGTTTAACTTTTAAACCTGGTTCACAAAAATTCTCAGTACCAAAAAAGAATGGATACGTATGTAATGTAACAGTCCTTTCAAAAGCTCTCTTTCCTATATCAAAATTTCTCCTTCAAAGGAAGAAATATGCTTCAAATATTAAAGCCTAGCATTCCAGCTCTAGCAGGAGAGAAGTTTGAAGGTCAGCTTGTACACTGGAAATCTATGGACCTGCAGTAACTTCGATACTAAATCAGCAGCCATGATTGTTTAAGGTGGTCACAAGGCTTCTATGCTTTAAATTTCAATGGAAAAAAACTTGGCCAAAATGAGCATGTACAGCAGAAGATACCATGTTACATCCTCAAGTTTGAGATTTCAAACATCACAAGTTTATCTCTGTTCAATTACATTTCTTTTTGTTTGGGGTGAGGTGAAGGGAGACTTTTTAAACAGCTTATTCCACACAGGATGGAAATCTTTGCTTCCAAGTTGTTAACAATTATGAAATCCTGAGACCACCGATGACTGTTTAACTGGAGGAAGGAGAGGAACAGATAAAAGAGTTATTAACTTAAAATAAATAGGAATGATGGGGGATGAAGATGGGATGGGGGGGTGAACAGAAAGAAAGGCCAGAGTTAATTTTTCTGTTATTGTCTCCAATCACTACAATACAATCACAAGCCTTGCTTGGCCAGGGAAGCAGAAACTTCATCGGCCAATGTGGCCAGTTGAGGGGAGTCCACCATGTTGATGCTTCCAGTCGAAGAGACATTGCTAAGGCGGCGTGGAGAAGCATCTCCAGAAACAGTGGGTGATTTGTAGACAATTTCAGCTCCATGATCAGTCTTGGCTTTGGCGTTCTCACGAAAGGTCAATTTGTGACTCTCAATCTGAAATGAGACAAGGTGGAATGGTGAGAACAGAATGAGGCAGGGAATTAAAACCTTCCCCACCGCAGTCATATGTTCGTAGAGACAAAATGGTTCACCCTGTGCAAATATTCTCATATTTTAATATCTGACCCTAACAGGAAACTCTGGGATCCTTCTTGCCAATCAGAAGGCTTTGGTTATCTATAGATACTCGACCAGTATATCCTGACATATTACTATTATATAAAGTTCATACTACAAATTACCCATATTAAGATATAAACCTTTGTGAAAAAAATAGTACCTTTTTACAAAAACAACTTTCCAGACCCAAGCGAATATCTCACAAGCAATATACTCATCTGAATTTTGTATGATAGTCTGGACTCAAAAGTTAGATACACAAAGCCTCCTTAAAATACTTTGCAGATGAATGTGAGGGGTGGTGGTGAGTAGGATTGATTGTAGCACAAGAGAAATTGAGGGGGAAGCCCTAAAAATTTAGGCAAAATCTCTTTCCACAAGCACAACCTGCCTTCTTCAAAAGGACAATCTGCCCCTACCACCCCAATTGCACACACCTGTACAGTCATCCAACCCAACATTAAGAGGTGCAGAATCCCTGTTTTTTATCACATTGGGCAGCCTAACATCAACATTGCTCAACACTCATTTAACACTGACAACTTTTTTCCATCTGGAAAAACAAAGAATAGGAATGAAATTATTCCAGCCACCCAGCCACCCTTGGCCATCTAATTCCCTTCTTGCTCTCCCAAAGCTTATGACAACAGGTAACTACTTACTGGCATCGCATGGGTGCAAGTCGGGGAGTGGGCTCTCCTCAGGGATGGAGGGCTCCGTGATGGGGGAAGGAAGCCCAGCCTTATTGGGGCAGTTTTGTACACGGTTCTTGTCTTCCTTGCCCTTCTCTCTCTGCATGTGGGTGGAGAAGGTCAGTGGGATGCAAAATAGCATCATCAAATAAGATTGACAATGAAACCAAAACTTTTCAATGGGGAGGAAGGGACACATGGAACTGAAGGAAGAGAAAGTAGCAGGAAGTATGAAAAAGAAGCCACAGTAACCGAAGATGGAGAATGTAAGAGCTAAAGAAGAAGAATCACATAACGTTGGCTCCGAATCCTACAAAGGATGGCTGTTACTGATAATACTTAAAGGACTATTAACCTGCAGTGACTTAACAAGATCAAGCCATTTTTGCAGCCTAGCCTATAGAAAGGATCATTCATTTATCATATATTCAAAAACTGAGCAGTATGTTTTGAAGCAAGCAATGAAGGAAAGATCTATAGCCAAAATTGGAGGCCTCAATCCCTCCTCACCAGATTTTCTTCTGTTAAATGGACTGCAATACTTGAAAAACAGATTGTTTCAGACCCAGTTTCAGTTACCCCTAATTCAGATATCATGGTGGCTAATAATAAAGCCTAATCTCTTTTAGTGGGTCTACTATATTTCTAACTCTTTCTACAGTTTATCTCCTATGCCAGTGGTGGAGTTCGTGAAGGCATGAAGAAATGTTATGATTTAAATCTTGAGTTAGGTTCTGGGGATTTGAGGCCATGGTCCATGGTCACAAAAGATATTTAAAGGAGGTCCATGATGAAGAAAAGGTGGAGAACCACTGCCCTTAACAAGATAAAGTATACGAAGGGTACACTCACATGGATTTGTAATTTGTTTTCAATCTATTAGTGTTCAATAGGCATAAAAGGAGATGCTGAATGTAACAATGGACACATTTCAAAGTCCCTATTTCCCTTAAAAAGAAATCTTGAGGTGGGATGAAATATATTATCTTATAGTGTCTCTACAACAAACCTTTCTCATTTGTCCAGAAAAAAAGATAAAGCTGAGGCGCTAAATGGTACTGATAATCCCTTCTTAACACCAGTAATTTGAAGCAGAAACTCCATCATTAAATGAAAGTCATAAGTTTTAAAAAAAAACAACACATGACCATACTGCTTAGCAACAGCAGTTTTGGCATTGTTAAGCAAATCGTGTGTAATCGTTAAGCAAGGATCTCTAACCATCACTTGTTCAGCGCCATCTTAAGTTTGAATGGTTACTGAATGAGTGGTTGGTAAACAAGGACTGCCTGTAAGGTCAGTAATAATATACACCTAGTGTTTCTAGCCAACTGGCATTTGGTGACTGGCTCCCCAAACTGTGGCAGCCATTTGATGAATTGGCAACGCTTTCTCCAACTGCAACTATTTTCCTTATATGCTATTCATGTGTCCTCGAAATATGGGACCAACGCTACAATCAAGCACATCTACTGATCTGCCGAATTATCCCAACAGTGATTCAGAAAGTTCAGAAGGAAAAAACAATGGGAGGAGGAGGAGGAGGAGGAGGAGGAGGAGGAGGAGGAGGAGGAGGAGGTGCAAAAGTTGTGCCAATATCAGTGAGAGAAGGATAAGGAAGCAGAAAAGTCCTCCCATCAGAAGCCAGAACACTCATTGGAAAGAGCTAATGAAAAACATAAAGTTTTATACAGTTATTAAAATGAGATGCATCTGAGTGGAAAGGACTGAAATGCATGTGAGTGGAGCCTCCCTCCCCAAGAGAGGAACACAGATAAGGCACATACAAACAAAAGAATAACTCGCATTAATGGGTCACTCTCAGACTGATGCTTCAAAATCCATGCTACATTTTTGTTGCTAGCCCTGAAACTATGTGAATATAGCAATCTAAACTGGGATATCAATTACAAGAAAAATAACTAGGTTTAGATAGCTTGTGATTTCAATCTCAGGTACAAAACTTAAGAGATGAAACCTTTTATTTACCAAAGATAACTATGACCGGCAACTGTTGCTGAAGATATAGCTATGGTAGCAAGTGGAAAAACTGACTGGAGTGGGGTGATTCAGGAGGCTGAATAATTCTGGTCTAAATAAAATTTTGTATTTACTTACTTTATTTCTTTATTGCTCTACTTTCTATAATAACACGAAAATACTGTGTAACAGTTTTAAAATGTGCACAATCAATAAAAAGCAAGTATTACACAATAAATAACTTTTGTTTGAAATCCATCAGTAATAATTTTAAAGACCAGATTATAGAGCTATAATATTTCCTTTCCACACTGCTACTGCAATAAAAACAAAGCTTCTTAACCTTCCCCCCCCCCACACACACACTAATGGTACTCTTAAAAATCATACATTGCATTCTGTTGACATGTTCCACTTTCTACTACACCGTTGTCTGAAGGCACAAATTGAATCGCTGAATAAAGTCTAAGGAAAGTGTTTATTTTCTGAAGACTTGTTACAGAAATAGACTAGTTGCAAATAAAACAATAGACTTGAAAATTGCTTAATTATTATAATTATATGGTTGCTGGTAGTGTATTTCCAATTTTAAATTACTATGAATCAACCAAACAGAAACTTACCAGATTTAACTTCTCTTTTGCCACCTAGTGGGATACTTGGGCTTGATGAAATTTATATATATAGCTCTTTGTTATCAGATGTAATACCAGACATATTCTCATTTCTCTCTCAATTGCTTGTAATTTAAGGTCTATGGCAGTTTTTATATTTATGAACACAGAAAATCTTAAGTGGATGTTGCTTCAGTGATGAGTTCTTTAACCAGTCAGAGTTTGAAAAAACTTTGAAAGTTTTTGAAATTTTCTTTCCCAGTATTTCATTGTGCTTGACAGTAAGTGATATGATCTCATTACTGTTGGTTGCAATAATGCATATACAGTACTTAGAAACATCACAATATTGTCTTCTTTTACTTGTCACAAATCAATTTCTTTTCTCTCAAAGTTTTTATTTGAAAAGGGCATTTTCAACTTTGCTACACAACTTTGAATATAGCCTCTAAGTAGGATAACTCTGCTAGTGACTCACAATATTCTTCTTGCTCAGATGGGGAGTAAGCATCTCACTCTGTTTCTGATGTAATAATATTTTTCCTCTTGATAACCCTTCCCTGTGAAGGAGATTCACATGACTTGTTTCGGTTCCCAAAGTTTGATAAACAGATTCAACTGAAGTGACCTACTTTGAATTCATTATTTTCACAATTTTGTCTTTTCAAAGCCAATTGTTTTTTGAATCAATGTTCAAAGTGCAAGAACAATTATTTGTTATTATAATATCCCAAGGTGCTTTTTCAAAAGGCAACTGGACTGTTTTACCTTGAAGACATTTCGTTTCTCATCCAAGACGTTTCTTCAGTTCTGGAAGTCTTCAAGATAAAACAAAATCCAATTGCTTTTTAAAAAAGCACCTTTGGGACAACTATGAACTGAATGGCTGAGAATCTCTATAGACATTTAGCTACATTAGTATAATACTAAGTGTTATTCAACTTCTTTAACTTCAACCTGTGTGACTTCACCTCTGTAAGTGCCTACCCATTCACTGGCTGGGAGGAGAACACTGATCCTTGGGATAACCTTCCTTCAGCTCACTCACTTCAAAACCCTTCAAAACACATTCACTGTTAAAGATTTCCTCAAAGGCATCAGTTAGTTTAGCAATCATTTAAACAAAATGAATTCTTATTTGCAAACAGAATCATTATTTCTGCTGTAAAGGTAATGTTTGAGTATGTAACTTATGAGCAGTTGTAAGAGTTTACAATAAAACTACCATAATGCACTTTGTCATCTTCTGTAGCTCCTTGAGAATTATCAGTTTAGGGAATGATGCAGGATAAGGCTTTGTCTTGCATACCAAAAGGTAATGTGTCCTATGAGCAGAAGTGTCCTCAAACAGTCTCTTTTTGTAGGCTACATTAAACTGGCAAGTTCTTAACAAAACATACCTTTAATCTAGCCAGATGTAATCGAACTCAAACTTTGGAATTTAAACCTTTCAGACAACTCAGAATCAGCACAGATATTCCAACATTGGCTCCTGATTGGCAGTCTAAATTACTACCTTTTGTACCACTCTTGAAGAGCAGCCCTAGGTAGAGCACACTGCAGAAATGTAATGTTGGATTAAATAAAACTTTAAAAACAGACTTTTGGGGAATGGTTGTAGCCAAAATCCAAAACATTCTTGGGCAAAACAGTATTTGGAAAGAAGCTGCTCCAGTTTTTTTTAGGAACAGCGTGAATAAAACAAAGCCCTAGCCATAACTGACTAACAGCGTTCCATTTTGCCCTGTTTCATCAAGCAGTGCAATATTGAAGAGTGCTCAGAGACAAACAATTCCACTGAATTTCTCCCTATCCAGCCCAGGTTATCTACCAGCCTGAACCAGGTTGAAAGTCCCATTAAAACAAGTATGTAATTAACTTCTAAGCACATTCCACTGACTTCAACTTCTCTGAAAGCTGTCCTTACAAAAAGACTCTGCATTTCATCATTTTATCTGTTTCCCTGTGAAGATGACAGCAACTGGTAATATTTACACCCTGTGGAAGATTACCCTTTCAACAACATAGAAGCAATTATCTGAGCAAGTAATGACCAAAAGGGATTTTTTTTTTGAGTGGGATCTTTCAAACACAGAGCAAGGAGATTTGTGAAATTTGAGATAATCTTCAAAGGTACCATATGGTATCTTCATATATAAAAACAGCATTAAATCATCAAAACCTTCAGGTTCATTATAGACTTCATTAACCAGTGGGACCAAAAAATATTTCTCCTCCCTTCTGCTCTGTCTGAAATCTTAATTGCTGTTACATTTCTTTTTTGACATATGCAGGTGTATTTAAAAGGTTGTGTTATGTTTATTTCTCTGATGATCCTAATGTTTTCTTCTTTTGTACTACAAAAGAGAAATTCCTACTTTAGCAGTAGATCTTGGTATAAAAGAAGATGGTCAGATTGCCATATCTAAAAAAATACTGTAGCTGGAGAAGCAGAGTTTCCATAGCCAGTGTAGAAAAATCTGAATAATTTCCAAGGGTATGACTTGGCTTTTCTTAATATTCTGGCAAGTATCAGAGCTGGCAGAAATGTATAAAAAATGGGGGGGAAACTTGTTTAGGAACTTGGTGATAAATATATTTGTCCTAGGATTGGCCTTGTATATCCTTTGGCAGTGGGATAAGGTCACTGATTAAAAACATAAGTTCAGTTTGCCTGCTCCAAGGCCTTTTAACACAGCAGATGTTCAGCAAGACAAAAGGTCAGACTTTTTTCCAACCAAGTCAAGAGGAGAGTAGCATGACAGTGTGATTTATCCACACTCTTATAATAACTCTTTTTACCTTCTGTGCAGGTAAAAAATGTTTGTTCTATGGAAGAATCCTTGTAAGGATTAGAGAATATGGAGATGTATCAAAGGGATAATATTCAAAACAGGAAGTTATCAATCCTTGTCATTATTCAAATTGCATCAAAATCTTGTAGGACTGAATATTTAGTTATTTCCTGATCATTTCTCTCACATTCCCTCCTCTAAGAGAATATAGTTATTGTTCAAGATCATTCCTAGATAAGCATAATCTCTTTAACTCCAAATGTGAAACAACCAGAGAAATTTTCCTGCTACCAGTTCAACAACAAGAAATATCATGAGAAATATTTAAAAGAGTATCAATACACAGTCTAAAATCTGGTATGAGAAAGAGGTGAGAAGGTGGGATCATAAAGTAAAAACCAACAGTTGATTAATACTATACATCCTCTTCAATTTCATTCCACTAAATTTGTTGTTTCTATACTCACTCTTATAAAGGAACAAGTACAGTTAGTCCTCGAGTTACAAATGTAATGGAACTTGCACATTCCATTTGTAACTCGAGAATTCATGGGAGTGAATCTTGTACCTTGAATGAGATCAATCCCTGCTTTCGCCCACACATTTGCTAATCAAATGCGTGGGCAAATGCACGGTTTGTTAACCGCATATGAGTATCTCAGGGTGGGGAAGGCCATGGGGGCGCCTAGTGATGGAACAGGCCCACAAGGCCTCATTGACCCACTAAGATACCTCATGCTTCCCCCTCCCTTCCTCACTTACCTTGAAAAGATCTGTCTCCTCTCTGCTGCGGTTTCTGCCTTTGAGGGAGAGGAGAGTCGATAGAAACCCCTGGGTGCCGTAATATCACGCAAGTTCAGGCACTCATCCTCTTTTGCAGAGAATGGATGCCTGAAATCTTGCGGTATTTGCAGTGCCTGTCTCCTGCTCCCTCCCTAACTTCTTTCTGCCATTGCGGAAGCGCCCCATTGGCAGGCAGATGGAGCTTCCAGTCTCCCCAAGGTCTCCACCCAAGCGAAAAGTGTTTGAGCACCTATGGAGCATTTGAAAACGAAGTGATTCACTTCGTTTTCAAATGCCCCATGGGCACTCAAACACTTTTTACCCGGAGACCTGACAGAGACAGAGGCTCCATATGTGAGCAAATGCGTGCTTAGTTTCTCAAGTGTCCCATTTCTTCCGAACGGAGACCTTGGAAAGACTTGAAGCTCCGACTGTGAGCAAATGGGGTGATTGAAAAGGCAAGTGAATCCCTGTTTTCAAGCACCCCATTTGCTCACAGACGGAGCTTCCAATCTCCTGAAGGTCTCTGTCAAGATGAAAAGTGTTACAGTGGTGGTGGAAAGGAGTTGGGGAGGGAGCAGGAGACTGGCACTGCAAAAACCTTTTGTGCCGAAAATTAAAGTTTCTGGGGTCCGTGATCTCGCAAGAGTTCAGGCATCCATTCTCCGCAAAGGAGGATGGGTGCCTGAACTCATACAATATTACAGCATCCAGGAGCTTCCAACAACTCTCCTCTCCCTCAAAGGCAAAGAAACCGCAGCAGAGAGGAGGCAGATCTTTGCAAGGTGAGTCCAGTGGGGCAGGATGGGAGGGAGAAGAGGTTGTGAGTGGGAGGGGAATAGCGTGAACATTGCAGAGTCTTTGCGGTCACTTGTAAGGGCGAATGATTGCCGTTGTGCTGCAACATTCGCAATTTTGGGACTTCCTCGTAAATACCAGGGGGCGCTTATCGCATAACATTCGAGCGTTAAGTGAACATTCATAACTCGGAATTACCTGCATATCTGACAACCTGTTGGGAATGCTCTCAATGTGGCAGTCTTGTTGTTTATGTATCTCTGTACACATCTGAAGGTGCTTTTTAGAAAATGTACCAAGGATATATGAAAAGAGGGATACCTTCTTTAGCAAAGGCATTCCATACAAGGGAAAGTTTATGAGTGCCTTACCCATTTTCTCTTGGCCACCCGTTTTTGAGGGAGATCAACCTGAGAAGTTATGTGAGCTTGTATATAGCATCTAGTTAGCTCTTAGTTGCTTCTTTACAATTAGGAACAGCTGCTGGTTTAGTCAATGTCTTAATATGCTTCTGTTGGCACGGGGGATATTTATAGATATTGTGTTATGAAAATTGGGACCTAGTAAGAATTGTGTTAAGACTTAAATTAGCACCATTCCAACATTAAAAGATTTAATATACTATTTCTCAAAGCTTAATACAATTATTGCCCTTCAGCTTCCTAGGCAACCTGTCCCCATCACCTACACATCTAAAGAATAGCAACAGAAAAAATGTTTTTACCTTCTTATTTCCACCTCCAGGAACATGGGTGATGTTATCTAATGACCCAATTTTTGATTGCACTTTATCTTTGAAATCCAGTTTCTCAGATTTCATCTCTACCACTCCACCACCTAAAGAAAAATGAGCAGGATTAACAGATATCAAAAGGAACATATAATGATGACTTCTGAAGGAAATACTTTTCTATGTTTATGTTTGTGCATGTTTCTTTCCCTCAAGCAAGTGTTGTGCTTATTTGCTTATGTATCTGAATATGAGTTCTGTCCAATATCCAAATTCAGTTATGCAAGTCTCACACGATTTACAAAGAAATTTTGGATCTTGAAATTTACATTTAGTACTGTAGTCATAGTTGTAGTAGTAGTAGTAGTAGTAGTAGCAGCAGCAGCAGCAGCCTAGCTACAATATGCATTCTAAATTCAAAATAATGAAATGTGTTTTACTGAAAGGTAAAAAGAAAAGAAAAACAAATTGGTGTGCAATGAATTTGTGCTTCAAATCACGAAACATGTCTTAGTAACAGCTACAGCTTTAGGGAAATAATTTTAAAAATAAATGTTACTAAGCAGGATCTTCACATGCAGCACTTTTAATAATCTAAACTGATGAACCCCAATGTTTCTACATGGCCCCTTTTCTCTAGCTTCCTGTTTTCTAGACCCCTATATAAATAAGAAATAAAAGCAGGCAGGGTTTACATTAAGACTCAAAGAATTACTGGATAAAGTTTATTCCCAGAGTAGACTGCATTCCCTACTAAAAGTCTGAAAAATGGTGTTCTAAATTCCAGTAGAAAAGTTTGGGGCACATCAAGGAAGGACTTCCAGGTTTCAACAACACCGCACCCAAAATGTTTCCCTTGAAAGGAAGACATTTGGAGTGATTCCTATAGAAACCACTTGGGTGAATTTGTTGTTCATTTAATTTTACAGTTAATTAGACATTTTTTCCTGATGTTCTGGACTAACAAATGGATAAGAATTCTGTAAATGACAGCATCCAGTGTTTTGCAGACACTCAGTTAAACAACAGCAGGGATAAACATATGGAAGGAATAATTTCTCTGACCTCATCTATCAATTGTAATTATTCCCTGTTCTCTAAATAACTCTATATCCCTTGCAATTATCTTTATTTTTTTCATCTCAGTATTTTAAAAGCAAAATAAAAATAAAACTAACATGTACCTAAGGACAAATAACACAATATATCTTACAAAGATACTTTAAAAATAAAATACAAAGACATCAAAGTCACCTGGTTTGTGATGAATGTTATCCAGAGATCCACATTTGGACGTTACATGGCTAAGATCCACTGGTTTGTATACAATTTGTATCTGTGAGAAGAAAATGAAAAAAACAACAACTGTACACTATGGGATTGGAATTTATTTTAAATTAAAAAAAAATACCCAAAATAGGCTGAAAAAGTGAGACATACAAAATACTGGAACTTGTTTGGAGAAGAAACACAGTTGGAAGAATCATTTAACCAAGCAAGACTGAACAAAAGCTTTCTGCAAGAAACTGTGAAACCAAAAAGGATATATGTTATCAAAGATTCTCACAAGCATGCACAGATCCACTTTGACTTTAAGAAGATTCATTTAAAGATTCATGGGAAAATAAGAACCAATATAAAAGCAAAATACCCATAAAATAGTCGATCCCATGTTTTCAAATAAAGTATCTGTTCTAAAAGTTAATTATCTTGGTTTTTAGAATTAACTCATAGTTCTATATGCCTTTCACATTCATGTTTGTTCCAGAATTTTTTTTTATTTTTAATAGCATAGGAGTCCAAATATTACACTCATTTATGTGCTATCCATATAATTAGAGTTACAATATTTCACAAAGAAAGCCATATTTTAAAAATAATTGTTGTACTCATCTCTGAAGATCTCACTATTCTTGCACAATAATCCCTTATGTAGCATACACACTGCATTTCCACAGCATGCAAAAACTATTATACCTCCAGAAGATGGAGATTTGAAACTGAGGGCGCTTAGATGAAAGTAGAAAGTTGAGAGGAGAGAAAAAAAAGAGAGGTGTAATCAAATAAGCTATATCACAGAGAAATTATTTAAAAGCACAACAAGAGAAACTGAGCTAAATACCTTTTTTGATGTAAAACTTAACGTATATGTCCACAAAACTGAAAGAACAGAAATAATCAATGTGCATTGAAAAGGCTGGGGGGGGGGGGAAGGGGAGATAATTAATTTTTTCAAGGATCTTTTTAAAATGCAACTGAAAAAGCATTTGGAACAATGTGGAATTATAATCCCATTATAGCAGGGTCAAGTTATCCAGAAATAAGACATGCACAAAAGGCACAAATATAAACAAAAATACTTACTAGCAGTTATTAGGTTACAACAAATGACACTGCAGGAAGGCATACAACTGGAGAAAAGACATAAGTCCAAAGGGTGGGGATCAAATCCATCTTTGCTGTGCATTTTGCTCCAAAGTTGAGCAGGTACCAAGATGATGATTACCTTGCAACCCTCAAGACAGGATTTCTAGACATTAGAAACTGAACAACCTCCATCACAGGAAGCAACCATAGTCCTGAGCTCAGTGATGCTGTTATGCTATGGTGGAACTCAGTGAAGGCAATCATAATTACAAGTCACAACTCTTCTCTGGCTTCCTTCTCCTATAGGGATGCATTGGGGAATTTTTTTGGGGAGGGGAGGGAAATGTTCTTCTCTGCAGCCCCAAGCAAGATACAGCCCATTTTCATAACTTGGTGTTTCTTCTGCCAGCTTTTCTCACCATCTTTGTTACTGTTCTGTTCAGTTTCCAGTTATCACAATGATAGACAGATGGACAAACAATATCCTAACCCTTTACATAATTTCTTTCCAATATTTTTTTGGATTGGGAAAAATAAAAAAGGTATTTATAATTTAGACCAGTATAATTTTGTCAGTCCATTTACTTATTCAGGGATGATGGCCTGAGTTAGAAAGGCTATAAAATAAATTCTCAGGCTGCTGACCAACTAAGGTAGGGTATCAAACTGGCGGCCTGCAGGCCAGATGCGTCATGCGCAGGCCATGCCCACCCTGGCTCCGCAAAGGCAAAAAATGTTGTGATATATCACGTGACGCAATCGAGCTTGACACTTGTGAGCTAGAGCAGGGGTCCCTAACCCCTGGTCCGTGAAGCAGTATCAGGCCATGGCATGCCAGTAACCGGTCCGCATAAACAAGGAAAGCCCCATACACAGGATGCAGGCAGCACACAAAACCATGCCCTCTCTGGTCCGTGAAAAAACTCTCTCACGTAACCAGTCCCTGGTGCCCAAAAGGTTGGGGGACCTCTGAGCTAAAGGAACATTTCAGACTCTTATATTAATGGGGTGTATTTGAACATGTTCACCCATACCCAAAAAAATTCAGTGAGATCTGAATGAATTACCTGTTATACAACCGTCTGACCTCACTTCTATGTCACATTACTCAAGCAGAGGCCATATGTTAAGAGCATAATCTTCCTCAAACCAGACAAAAGGTCTACCTTTGTAACTCATTTTTCACACAAATATTCCCAAAAATATTTAAGAAAATACCCAGGTCAATTTTATTTTTAAAATTATCACTGAGTAACTATGGCTTGCCAATTAAAAGAAAAAAAGGGGAGGTTTTAAAAAAATCTTGAGACAAAATGACATTGTTTCTTTAGATCAGGGGCAGGAGAAACTATGGCCTCTTTATGACTTGTGGACTTCAACTCCCAGAATTCCGGAGCCAGACATACTGGCTCATGAATTCTGGGAATTGAAGTCCAAAAGTCATAAAAGAGCCATAGTTCCTCCCCCCCTGCACTTAGATGCCACAATTCTTTCCTACTTTACTTTCTTTTACTTTCTTTCCTCAAAACCCAATGCAATTACATAGATCATAAGAGGTGCTTTCTTCTGTAAAATGTGATGCCCAGTACCTCATCCTCTCAAACCTCCCTCTAGCCATTCTATTCCCCGAGGAAGAATTTCATCTCCCTGGCTATTTGTCCCAAAATGTAATGCCTACCTCAACATCCAAAATCAATGCCATTCTCTCTTCTTCTCTGTTGAAAGGCTACAAATCACTTCTTTTAAGGAAACTCACTTTCTAAGGAAGGATGCAAGTCACCACACAGACTGTAGCCCTCCACTTATATTAACAGGAGAAGAATGATATTCTTCCCGTTTTCCTTCACAACTTTGCTGCTGTGGTAGGTAGCCAGTCTTTGGTTTCACTTCATTTTGACTCTCTTTCCCGTACGTTTATTCATTCAGTGTGCTTGGTAAACTGGTAAGGCAGGAGCAGCAGACGCTTCACTGAAATGGGGGTAGCACACAGCAAGGATAGAAAGTACGTATATATCAAGTGTGGGTGTATAATGCACATTGACCTGATAGACAAAGGGGAATAAGGAAGGACGAGGACAAGGAACAACTGAAAACAAATTGTCATTGTCACTGTCTGTAAGCCTCACATTGTAGACATTGTCCACAAGTTCTATGTCTAGAATTTAGAAATTAACCTCCTTCAAAACTTACTTCGTGAAATTTGATTTGAGAGACATGCTTAGAGAGATCTAATGAAAAATGTTTTTCGTATTCACTCATTTTTACAGATTTGCTGCTATGGGAACAACAGTACTGTCATAATTTAATTCCCTCTGCAGACTCTAATAACGTAAACAGCATTGGCTAAATTTCAAGACATTGTAGGGAATGCTACATATAATGCAAAAGAAGAGTAGCTTTTTAAAAGCAATCTTTTAGAATGACGTTTATAGAAATTGTTGCAGAGGCAAAATCTAATAATAAACACTCTCAGCTTCCATATATAGTAGATCTATACAGTAATAAACTCTCTTCTATTTCCTTTTCTTTTCAAAATCTGGGCAGTACTTAGTGGCCTATGGTAACTAAATACAGCATTATTTCAGCTATGTTTATAATGTGATCAACTGACTACATACTATTATAATTATAATTATAGAAGTAGCCTTTATAGTTGTATAACGAAAATAAAAATGTTAAAAACTATACCCACAAATAATCATTGTAACTGTACATGTGGAGTTGCCAATAATGGGAGAAAGGTCACAAAATTAGTTTGAGAAAATAGAATCCTAAGGGAGAAATAGTGTGTGAGGATGAATTGCAGCCCTGTATGGCACACAAATAAGCCAGACATCACTATGCTAGAATAAAAAAGTTAGGACCTAGGAAAAAAGGTGCCTTGTTCATTGTTATTTTATGAAGCCTACTTTTAAGTATTCATGAACTACATCAAGGGTCCTCAACCTTGGTAACTTTAAGACTTGTGGACTTCAACTCCAAGAATGGCTGGCTGAGGAATTCTGGGAGTTGAAGTCCACAAGTCTTAAAGTTGCCAAGGTTGAGGACCCCTAAACTACATAATGTTAACCAAAATCCCTCTTAGAAATTGTACACTTTTGCTTATATACTTTTCAGTCTCTGAATTAGAGAGTGCAGATACATACATTAAAAGCATGACACTAATCCAAGGACACCTTGTATGTTTTCATTAAATTTTTATCCAGCGCTATCTTTTTGAAATTTTTAATGATTATTTTTTAAATGCCAACTATTAAGATCATTTTCTCCACTGCAGACAAATGTCACAATTATGTCAGCTGATAAAACACAGAAACAGATAACATTGTACAAATCCAACATCATGCAAAGTGTTCTTGAAAAGACAAACTAGTAAACAGACTAATAATGCAAACAATGCAAGTTTAATTAGTAAATTAATTTTTTTTCTTTTACAAAACATGCTATTAAATGTGTATTTCAAGTATCATACACATATGCCCTAAAACTTTGAGTTGGAAGATTAAATTCGGAATCTCAGGGTAAAGATCACTGCAAATTGTAAAAAAACCCCAAAAACCTGGCATTCTTAAGGTGCTTCCAGACAAAGCTTATTGTAACAAATAAAAATGCATTTATCAACTTACCTCTTGAGAATTGATAAACGGGGGGTGGGTGGGAGGAGAGGGAGGGAAAAGTGGTGAGAATATTAAGGAGAGCTACACATGTAAATTCATACTCTGAATCCCCCCTAAAATTCTATGAGTGACAGCAGCACCATAAAAGCCTAATCTGGAAGCACCTTTGCTTGCAGAAGAAGTACAGAAATACACAGTTTTTAGCATCTGGTGAAGGCTCAAAATTCAATATTAGATAGATCTTTTTTGATTAGCCAACAAGATTCATAAGACATCCGTGTCTTCATTTCTTATAAAAATAAATTAAGAAATGGAGCAGGGCTATCAAGAAATGAGAAAAATTACTATCATAGTCCAGAAAAATCCTGAGATTTGGTAAAGATAGATAGATAGGTAGAAGATATATTTTTCTCTCCACTACTTCACTAGTAAGTCTCTGGAAATTTTATATTCAGTATAACTAAATAAGGGATATTATGGGAAGGGATAGTAAGAATGAATTGGCTTGCTTGAGCCCCTAACAAGTTATGTTGTCCCAGAGAGCATTAATTTCTACACTGAAACACTACTCTTAACAGGTGAGGCCTGATTTGCCACAGATCCAACTTTGCCACAGATCCAATGACCCAGTCTATTGATTCTATACAACATCTGACACTAAATTCTACTTTTTCTACATTCCTCATGCTTTAAAAATCACCAGTTATAGAAGCAAAACAAATCATGTAAAAAAAACCCTGTAAACAATAATGTGCTTAATTGCACATTCTGGGTTAAGGGAACATGCTTATCCTTTAAAAAGAAAAGAAAAAAAATATGTTTCAGATGCAGAACATCTGATTTACCATTTTCACGAGTCCTCCAGAAAAGCACATATTGTTCATCAAATTTCTAGATTTTTATCTTTTGTTAACATCTTCCTCTTTCCCTAACTGAACCGGACAACACATTGACCAGAAGCCTGAAAACTATGAAATTAAAAATGACTACCTTACAGTATTATTTTTGAAAAATAGCCAATTAATCCTGCACATATTGCCACACACAGACTCTGCTGGAGGTTTAATCAAGCCATATCTTTCCTAGTAGGAGGTTAATTTATATATGTTATATTTAAGTGTGTTACCAATGGCTGGCTGGCTGAGCAAGCAGCATTGGCATTTTGGGATTAATGCAGAATTCATGCCACTAATAATAAGTTATTTTATTATAGTGCATTGAATGGTGTGAAGGTACTCACACTGCCTCCTCCTGGGATATGTTTGACATTATCCTTTGATCCACACCTGGATTGGACATGGCTAAAGTTCAGCTTCTTATTAACCACCTGCACCTTTGATAGTCAGAAAAAGAACGTAAGTGACACCTACTGCCAGCCAAAGATACAGTGCAAAGGGTTTCTCTATGTATAACAGTAAACTTAGAAGAAAGAAGAAACAGAAAATGTCTCCAAGGCATTTTTCAGCGACTTGGTTTAACAAATGAAACCACACATTTCAGCTCTGCAGAAGTGAGCAACTGGAAAGCAAGCTTTAAATTAATATTTACAAAGTATTTGTATAAGTTGAAGAGTAACTTACATATTTTATCAGTACTATGCCAAATTTAGTGTAACTTTTAATATCAATGTGGGGCTCTGTAGCCCCCACAAGCAAATACCTGGATATCCCACGACTCACTGGATATATCTTTGATCAGCACAAGGAAAAACAACATTGTAACATACTGATGAAACTGGAAAAAAAACATGAAGCAGACGTCTCTTGCTACATATGCCTATTTTCAGTTTGTTTGTGCATTCTTGCTTATTGGACTTGAAAAAGTATTCAGGGCTGGTATATGACATGCAATTTTAGCATGACAAGTGTAATTGGGTAAGTATACCCACCATATGAAAATGGCTTGTGTCTGCAGAGTGAAAGCTGAAATCAAATGAAAGTTTTTATTAGACTGAAAAATCATCCCTGGATCCTGCCATTTTGGATATCCCCCAATATACAACTTGTTGGAGAAACATTTTGAAGAATCCACGGAGCATATATTACAGAGAATTCTGGATGAAACAAATTATTTTGATCCATTTTTATCTTTTCAGGCTTCAGATCTGGATGTGGAACTGAAATAATATTGGTCACTCTAGTGGATGACCTTTGTCAGGACAAAAATGTGGGGGTTGTAACCACTGCATCTCTCTGCAGTGAGAGTCACTTTAGCCAATCTACACTGGTGCTGCAGTAACTGCCCATTTGTTTCTTGATATGAGTCAAACTGCTGTTAATTAAATTTTACATAGCTTAGGTCAAGATAATTTTGGGGATCACTTGCTTCCCATTAACAGTAAAAAGGAATGCTCCCATTTCTTCCCTTACATTTGGGTTATGAGACAAATAGTTGTAAAGAAGCATACTTTTCCTGTGGCAGCCTCTATTTTGTGGAAATATTTGCCATCCGAGGATCAATTGGCCCACTCACACCTTACCTTTAGGAAGACAGTGAGGAGCATACTTTTTATTGCACATATATTATGTATAAGCTATCTTAAAATATTTTTGAATAGCTTGATTTTGTGAGAACGGGAATAAAATAAAAGGAAGCAGACAAAGCACTTTCAGAGTGGGAACTGAATCTTCTTCTGAAACTGGTTGTACATCCTGCTGGTACCCATGCCATGGTTTCCTGGGCATGATACAGTTATTCAAACAATCAAGTCAGCATCTGCCGTGGGGACCAGATAACCAACATTGGTCTTCTTTTTAAATAACACAAAAAGAAGCATTGAGCAAACTACATACTATTGCTACTTCTGTCGACAATAACCTTTTTTCCTCTTTCCTCTCAGTAATAATAATAATAATAATAATAATAATAATAATAATAATAATAATAATAATAATAATAAGAAGAAGAAGAAGAAGAAGAAGAAGAAGAAGAAGAAGAAGTAGTAGTAGTAGTAGTAGTAGTAGTAGTAGTAGTAGTAGTAGTAGTAGTAGTAGTAGTAGTAGTAGTAGTAGTAGTTGGAAGATATCTTGGAGGTCATCCAGTCCAACCCCCTGCTCAGGCAGGAAACCCTATATACCATTTCAGACAAATGGCTGTCCGGTCTCTTCTTAAAAACTTCCAGTGTTGGAGCATTCACCGCTTCTGTACTCTGAGACAGCATGGAGAAGGAATGGTGGTAAGTGAATGAATCTACAAATCACCATCCAAGGAGCAACAATTATTGGTAAGCTCAACTTCTCCAACTTATTTTTGGCCTCTGACTAGTAGAGGTACACTTGGCAAATATGTTTACAGTATCTGCAGGCAGAATGGATCTCTTAAGGAAGAACAAAAGTTAAGTATCATCAAGAAGCATCATCCAAATAATCAGATGAAGTACTATGCAACGATCAATGTTTTTGACTGTGGCCGATTCTGCAAAAGACAGGAGAAGAACAGGAGAAAGAAACACTTAAAGAAGTAGCTATAGGACAATGACAAGCTTTTATTACAGACTGGTTAAACTACAAAACTGTTGAGAAAAACTTCTGATGAAAAATTCTAGAAAAAATAAACTGGGACACAGGGGGAAAAAAATTCAGATCTGGAGATAGATCTGGCTGAAATTAGGTCCCATTTCAAAAGTAGCTGGACATAGAGATGGTAGACCACTGTGAGTTGTGATTTTAGGTGCAAATGGATTAGCAGGATTCTGAGAATCTGACCCTATCAAATGAACCACTACAAATAAGAAGGGATGAAATATCAGCTACAAGCTTTTATAATCAGATGTAGCATATTCAGGGGAAGCATATTTCTCTTTTCCTGTTCAATTGAAATTCTGAATCAATTGGTTCCAAAGGTCAAGTTTGAAATAGAAAGAATTTTCCATATTGACAGAGACCAAAGAGTACAAATAACATAAATGAATACAGTAAGTTTGAGGGAAATAATATTTACTATATGGTCTTCTGGGAAGTAGGCTAACAAGAGTGGAATTTCTGTCTGTTATAATTAGCTCCCCAATTCTCCTATGATGTAGCAATGGTGAACGTGCAAAAAAGAAAAAGTGATGTAAACTGGCCTAAGTTGTCTCTGAAGGACATCTGATAGAAAGGTCAAATGTACATGCTTTGAGTTCAGTTAATGTTCAGGAAACAATGTTGTAAAACTGGAATTATCAATAAGGCAAAATGGAGTATTGGGTAGGAGAAGAACATCTGTTCTTTTTACACTCTTTTCATTTCTTCATTTTTACTGTTGTAAGCCGTGTAGGGTAGCCCCTCAGTGGGATAGGCAGGAAATAAATTTAATAAATAAATAGGCGTAAGCAATAAATCTTCTTAACTGGAACTTAACATGCGGTCCTCATTCTTCATACCTGACATTAATCTAGTCAACTAATGGTCAGCTTTAAATTGGCTCTTGATAAGTGTCAACAGAATTTAAGCGGGGGGGGGCTGAATTGGATTGCTTATGGCAATGTAACAACTCCAAATTGATTCCTCTCTTGACTCCACCCCCAGGCTCTGCGTTTACTTCTCCTACAGTACTATGTGATCAAACTACAAGGTCAAAATACAGTTCAGGCTATTTATATTTAAATTTTTAAAATATTTAAAAAAATATTATGTCATCCTGTCTTGTGGAATAGAAGCTGCTTGGACTGAATGCAGACAAGCCCAATGACCTAGAATTGATGAGATGCTAAGAAAAAATAACAAAATTGTGCAATACACATGACTGAATTATCAGCAAGCATCCAATTGGAAGCTAACCTTAAATGATGCAAAAATGTGTATTAACATGTCATTAACAGAATTGGTATAAAAGTGCTTTTAATTTTTCACCACTATTATGTGATTGCATTAATACCACATCTAAAAAATAGAAGAAAATGTTAAGTAAATTAAGAAAGAGTAACCATAAAATTATATCAAATAGAAAGATCCAAACAGCATCTTATTTTTAAAATTGTTTTTCAATACTCTTTAATTCAAGTCTTGTTGTAGGAATATTTTATTTCCTTAAAATAGAGATAGAAAGTGCAAAGTAAAAGAATCTAACACAATCCTTCTCAAAAGGATAATAACACTTGGTTAAGTGTTAACGAAGTATAGATTTATGACAAATGGTTTGCCAATCCGGTATACCACTGCATAAATTAAAATAAAGCATTTTTAAAAGACTAGTACTACAAAAGTAATCTAAACAAAGTAAAACTATACTGTTTTCAAATCCTTCCTAACACAGTCATAGCTGGGGGAAAAAATATTTCCAGGCAAAAAGGTGCTTTGGAGTCATAAGCTGCTAACCATATGCACCTTCTCCCACGATTGAGTTGCATTTGTGGAGGAGAGCTGTGTGATCCTGAAAAACATGCAGCTGTTTTAAGAAAGTGTAGGTAAATGCTACATGAATACTTGCAGATGTTCCAAAATTCCTTTATACCTTCTATCTGAAACCCCACTAAATGCATGATTTAGGTTCTCCACCTGATGGATATACATGGGAAATGCATAAGAGTGATTGACATGTTCTTGTAAATCGATAGGTACTACAGTATGTACCCGTTAAGAATGAAGCACTAAAATTGTCTACACTTAATAAAAATCCAGAGAGCAGCAGCAAGTGAACATAAGAGGATGGAAATCACCACCAGAGGCACCAAAAAAGCAGCCTCTTCTATCAGCCTATCAATGAAGTTATTCATATTTAATGTAGTGCCCTCTGATCATTAAAAATGCTGGTATTTGAAACTGTATTCAGTAAAATGGCTTTGGAAACTCGGACAGAAATTACTAACTCCCAGAGATTGATGATGATGAAGAAGAAGAGGAAGAAGAAGAAGAGGAGGAGGAGGAGGAGGAGGAGGAGGAGGAGGAAGAAGAAGAAGAAGAAGAAGAAGAAGAAGAAGAAGAAGAAGAAGAAGATGATGATGATCATTAAATAGGGAATTATATTACTCTAAATTCTAAATACTTTGTTATATTGTTTTGATTGCCTGATTTTTTAAAAAAACATTATCTTTTAACATAATGGCATGATGATGAACATTTCAAGTAGGGTGTTAATGAGCCTGATTATTAGAATCAGAAAAAAAAGGTTTCTCTGTTCCTGCTAGTAACATCATCAAAATATAACATTAGATCCGGAGAGAGATTCAGAGGGCAGGACTATAACATACCTGGGCTGAAATAAAGTATTATTTGTTCTTCTTAATATTCTAGCAATAAAACGACCTTCCTATATAAAAACCACTCTGTGTCTTATCAGGCTTCCTTGCTAGAACACACCTACTTTATGGGCAAGATGAGACGCCTGCTCCATTCAAGATCCTGCTGATCTTTAATTCTCAGTAACCTCAGCCAGTACAGTCAGATAGAGACTGAATTATTGAATTACTCTTCAGTATAATTTTGAGAGGAGCAGGATCTTCACATGTGATGTATATAGTGCTGTCTTGTTGCTGTTGTGATTAGTGCTTCCACACATAGCTTTAATGGCCTGTGTTCTAATCAGAGCAACATATGTTCCATTCACTTCACTGCTTTTGTACATGCTCAGTTCCCATGTATTTTCTAATTTAGAAGGAATCCTTATCATATAGTAGTAGTAGTAGTAGTAGTAGTAGTAGTAGTAGTAGTAGTAGTAGTAGTAGTAGTAGTAATAATAATAAAAAGTTGGAAGGGACCTTGGAGGTCATCTGGTCCAACCCCCTGCTCAGGCAGGAAACCCTATATCATTTCAGACAAATGGCCGTCCAGTCTCTTCTTAAAAACTTCCAGTATTGGAGCATTCACCACCTCTGGAGGCAGGTTGTTCCACTGGTTAATTGTTCTAACTGTCAGGAAGTTTCTCCTTAGTTCTAGGTTGCTTCTCTCCTTGATTAGTTTCCATCCGTTGCTTCTTATCCTGCCTTCAGGCATCTTGGAGAATAGCTTGACTCCCTCTTCTTTGTGGCAGCCCCTGAGATATTGGAACACTGCTATCATGTCCCCCCTCGTCCTTCTCTTAACTAGACATACCCAATTCCAGCAACCGTTCCTTATATGTTTTAGCCTCCAGTCCCCTAATCATCTTTGTTGCTCTTCTCTGTACTCTTTCTAGAGTCTCAACATCTTTTTTACATCGTGGTGACCAAAACTGGATGCAGTATTCCAAGTGTGGCCTTACCAAAGCATTGTAAAGTTGTATTAATACTTCATGTGATCTTGATTCTATCCCTCTGTTAATGTTATGAACACATATCTTTTCAATAATGTCAATATTACTTAACCAATCATCTCACATACATGGGCTACAACATCATCAATTTTGAGTGTTTGCATTCTGCCAGGTGAAGGTAGCTCATAAAGCTGAGAAAGTCTCACCGGCAGGGAATGCAATGCTGGGATGGCAAAGAGAGAAAGGTACACCCTCTACTAACGCTGGCCTGCATATCTGTTTCCACACAAATATAAACCATGTAAGCTTTACCTTTCCACCCCCAGGTTGATGCTTTAAGTTCTCAGTAGAACCAATTTTGGACTTGATATTCTTCAGGTCTGGCATGGGGACCGGAGCTGTCTGCAAGCGGCTCTTGGCAGAAGAAGGAGATTTTGGTGGTGTACGAACCACTGCAACCTTCTTGGGCTCCCTGTTTGGTGGAGTTGGCAAGGAAGGTGTGCGAGAGCGACTGCCGGGGGTTCCTGGAGATCCAGGACTGCTGTACCCACTTCTTTCTCCAGACTTGGTTGGCTCACCTACAGTTTGAGATTGTACGGATTTTAAGTGCTCATTCTAAATTTTATTTTTTACTATTCAATAAGCATGAAATATCCACATAACATCAAGAAGATAATGCTGTATGGTTCTATTAAGCTATTTTGCACCCATAAAAATTGTCATTGCAGAATGTAGTCCACATCCAACAATATAAACAGTGTGTTCTTCTGAGTAATAATTTCATTATGCCATTGTGTCATTGCAAATGTACAACTCTGTTATAATTGCATCGTAATTAACAAATTGGTGGGGTCTTCGGTGCTTGGTGGATTTCTTGCAGACATTTCATTACCAAATTAGGTAACATTATCACTGCTAGCTGATTGTCATGCATTTTCAATAAACCCGGAATGTGTTACATTAAACTACATTTAAATATTTCCACTATGGAAGTTACAAATTAGAGATTGTGTCTTTTTCAATGCTTGCAAAGTCCAAATAACAAAATAAAATATAGATGTCCCAACCTTCTAGAGTAAGTTTCTCCCAAGTTCCTATTGGTCCTAATTTAGTAATCTTCAGATTTACAGTGAAGATGGCCAACTGAAGATACACCCTGTGAAGGCTCCCGGGAGTTCCCTGAAGGGGTTTTCTCTGGATTGTCGCTTTTTCAACTTGCTAAATAAGGAATCAACATTTCTTTAGCTTATATGGCTCTCCTAGATTAGGGAGAGTCCTAGAATCACAAGATCCTCCACATACTGTGTTTCCCCGAAAGTAAGACCCGACCTTATATTATTTTTGCCTCCAAAAAAGGCATTAGGTCTTGTTTTGGGGGGATGTCTTATATTTTTTATGACACCTGCCTTGCCTCACCACAGCGGCACCTACAGCCATGTCCAGTAGGAGCCTGCGTGGCTGCCAGCCCACTTCTGCTGCGGCCGCTTGCGACAGGAGGCTGTGCAGCACATTGCGCCGCTGCCGCTATGAGACAGGTGGGGGAAGAGGTGGAGCTATCCCATGCGCCACGCACCTGCTTACTTCAACCCCCCCCAGCCAGGCCATTCCTTGCTCAGCGACCTTCCCTTTCATTCCCCTCCCGAGCCGGACTGCCATGCTATGGAGGATGGGTGGGATAGGCCTGGTCCCCCTCCGCCGTTTCAGAGCCAGTGGGGAGTGACAATGAGAGTCTCCACTGCTGCTGTGCACTGCTGGAGGGGCTTTCTTCATGCTTCACCCCACAGATCACCTGCCGGGAAGCAACCACCACCTCCTTCTCCTCTGCCATCTCTCCTGTGACTTGCGTCTTGACCGGGCAGCGCAAGCCACCCCTGCCACCTCCCTCCATCAGTCAGACCTTCCAACTTCTCACGAGATCTTTTTTTCCCCACAAGACATTGGAAGGTCTGACTGTATTTTCTTTAGTCCCACAAACTCCATTTCCCTGCTGCAGGAGAGAAACGCGCCAGAGCTGGAAAGCAGGTTAATGAAGAAATGCTTTTGGGAAGAGGGAGGAACTGGGCGGTGGTGTGCCAAACTCTACAGCAGCGCCAAAAGGAGAACCAGCAGGAAACAGGGCTGCCATTTCCAGACTGGAGAAGGGAGATGTGGGGCGATGCAGGGTGGCAAGCAAGTACTCTTCTCTGCTCTGCATTGCTCCATAGAGCTGCTCCCCTCCCCGTTCTCCCTTCTCTCCAGTGGGAGCAACAGAGAACTGGTGGAGGGAGGTAACAGGGGATGCTTGTGCTGCTCGGTCACAGCATAAGCCATAGGACAGTTGGTGGAGGAGGTGGCTGGTACCAGGCAGGTGACCTGTGTGGTGAAGCTCGAAGAAAGCCCCTCCAGCAGCGCACAGTGGCAGTGGAGGCTTTTGCCGTCACTCCCCCCTGGCTCCGAAATGGCAGAGGGGGACTGGGCCTACCCCGCCCATTCTCCGTAGCATGGCAGTCCAGCTTGGGAGGGGAGTGAAAGCGAAGGTCACTGAGCAGGAATGACAGGCTGAGGGGCCCTGAAATAAACGGGTGCGGGGCCCGTGGGGCAGCTCCAACCCTTCCCCCACCTGCCTCACCTCGTTGTGGCGGCAGTGGCACAGCATACGCTTTCCTGCCCAATGCGGCAACAAGGTGGGACAGAGTGGGTGGGGTCCTAACTAGGGCTTATTTTTGAGGTAGGGCTTATATTAGGCCCACCCCCAAAAATTAGGGTAGGTCTTATTTTCGGGGTTGGTCTAATTTTCAGGGAAACACGGTAGTAACAGTCTGCAAGTAGCAAGGAGTTGTGCTTCCAAGTGAGCTGCTGAGCTTTTCAGCTGGGGGGGGGGGGCTGCAATCACTTTATTGTTGAAAAAAGCAGCCATTCTGAAATTTATTTTTCAAACAGATAATCAACTGTGCCTTTCATTTCTTAAACACTTTTAGGGATTATTGTCTTTATTGAGTTAAAAGGGGCTCTCTTCAGCCACAGCCTGTTACTTCTTTTTGAAGATCTGCTCCATTTTGGGGACTTCTTTATTGTTAAACCATAAGAAAGACAGCTGCTCATGGCAAGCTAAAATAAGGAAGCATGGAGTGTTTTTATTTTTAACTTTGATGGAAAAACATAAAGGTAGAAAGTTTTGGTTTTTATTTTACTATTTTTAAGTAATTTGTAACTTGGTTTGCTTTGTTGTGAGTGGCTAAAACTTTCCAATATTCATGAACTCTGGCCAGCAATTCTTAAGTGATTTACAAAAAAATGACTCTTTGACCACAAGAGGGAGTTCAGAAGATGGAGCATGGATCTGAGCAAATTATTAGATATTGTTTGAAAAATTCTTAAATAAAAGAATTATTCATTTTATAGATCAATTATGTTCTAAGGATGTTATAAAAACTACTCAAACTACTTCAGAGATGCAACTATGTGTAGAAAATTATCAAACGATTGAGGAAATTTCACAAGTAGCTGAGAATTTCACAAGTAGCAAAGGATCCAACCACAACTCTGGAATATAAATCTGACCCAAATCTTTATTATGATGATGATTTAAATGTAAACCTTCCAGCACAATTGAAAGAAGAGTTCCAAGAAAATCTGCAACTTCCAAGAGGATAAGTTTGGAACTTTTTCTTTATGGATACTAACAAACTTGAGAATTTCTTGAGAAAAAGATAAGTATAAAAAGATAATAACTTGATCGACATTCCAGAGAAGAAAAAGATTTTATTTTACAAAGAAAAGTGGGAAGGAATAACTTAAATTTAATTAGTTAATTGGAGTTAGGATGGATTTTTACCAGTTTAATATATGTAATTAAATTTTTTTTTAATGTAAAGTGGGTTTGATTTTTTTCCCCTTTATCTATAATACTAGAGTAATTCCTAAAATTTGTAAAATATTTAAAGTGTATTTGAAAACAATCTGTTATGAGGAAGTTAAAAAAAGATGTATTAGAATTTATTGATTTTACAAATATTTTTAAACAAAAGTTTAGAGTTTTAACATGGATGTAAATAAGTTTATGATTAAAGAATCTGAAAGATTACAGTGAATTTTACTAATATAAATGATGATAGTCTATAAAGATTAATATGTGCAAATACAAATATAATATTTTCCACAGAAAAGAAAACAAAGTAGAGATGGTTAAATTGATTCCTTTATTCAAAGAAAAGAACATATCCAATTTTGTTTTTATCTGGAAACCGCTTCTGGATTTTGTGCTTGTAATGGAAAAATAAAACTTTGTGGATTAGATATGTGTGTTGTTACAGAAATGGCTAGTATATATTATTGTATAAAAAGTTGAGTTTTTAATGTTATTCTCTTCTACTGTGCTAAAGAGTTGGAAGTCAACATCCTGTTTTTCCTTTATCCCTTTCTACTCTACACTCTCCCCTCCCTTAGTTTCCATTATTTTTATTTTCCTTTGTATTTTTATATTATGATAAACTAAGAAAATTTTTGAGCCCAAATAATTTAGTCAAATTGTCAAATTGTAGCTGTTCCAACAAGACTTTGGAGATTAATATTTGCATTTTGCCTGCCATTTGTTTAGCATTAACATACCCTAATTTTACATTATTTGTAATAAATGATATTATTTTTATGACATAGATTGCAAATTGTCTGCAGATTATTGACTATGAATGAAAAGAAACAGTGGAAATAAATGAATAAACTTAATTGTTAATTGCATCCCACTGTTTATTTATTTGGAAGTTTTAAGTGGAACCACATTGTTAGTGCAGCAAATATCGGCTTTATAAATATCCAGAAAATCCTACACGTCACTGATCCAGTATTGCATGCTCTGATATTCCTGCTACCCCTACTGTACTGTGATATAATATTCAAGAAACACATTGTATTTTTTATTTGACTCGCAACAGGCTTATTATTCTACTTTCACCTGAGTTGTTCAATAATGTGGATTTTGAAGTTTTAGTTATGATGGATTGTGTTAAATGGGTCAGTACTATGGGTAATAATAGCCAGATATCACATTTGCTCAGTTCTACTGAGCCAAACATTTAACATTTAAACATTTAGTGCTTAACAAAATAATTAAGAAAAATGAAGAGATGTGTGTATGTGTGTGTATGTGTTATGTATGTGTATTTTATTACAGAAGACAAATTATTTTTTTCCTTCACAGGTTCAAAAAAACTCTTGAATATATATATGTGTGTGTGTGTGTGTGTGTGTGTGTTTCAATATACAGTATATGTATCTATCTATCTATCTATCTATCTATCTATCTATCTATCTATCTATCTATCTATCTATCTATCTATCTATATATATATATATCTATATATATATATATATATATATATAGCAACTATTCTTAGCTCAATTCACCATATAGAACTACTATTAGACACTTGTTGTTATTTGAAATCCAGCTGCCAGGGGACTAAGTCCGCATGTTGACATCAATTTAATTTCTAAAAACTGAAAATGTCAGCTAGATTAAGCCAGGATACCTCATGGCCTGCTGTCCCTTTCTGTATGCACCCATCCAGACACTCAGATGAATATCCAGTACTGTGCTCTTTGCCTGTCATTTTGCACTGGGCTGGTAAGCCTCGAGACCCTGGGGGGGGGGGGCGTCCGTACTCCCTTTTCCAGGAACGATGACAATATTCACTATTTTAATTGTAGGTAAATGCCAGTTGAACTAGCGCTCACCCATGATGCTATATCAGCCAATTTAATTTATATATTTAAACTACATTATCATTTTGCCCAAGTGTCTATGCTTCTACAAAATATATTTCACACTGTCTTCACATAGATACCTCTTGTCTTTCCAACTGAAAGGCTGAACACAAAGGTTTTTCACTCCATAATAATGTCTCATACACCAGCTGAAACATCAGTATCAATATTCAGAATCAACAGCATTTTTAGATCAATGCCTGAAAAGTATCTTAGGATTCTTTAAGAATAAAGAAGGAACTAAATAATAATATATATATTTTTACCTCTCTCAGATTTTGCTGCTGTGCTAGGGGGCCTTCTCTGCTCCTTCTTAGCAGCTGAAAGAACAAAAATATTCCTTCACTGAACCATGACTTTTAGTGTCTTTTCAGATCTTAGCGATACATTAGAATAACTACTACAAATTATTGGTGTCATTCTCGGCACTGAAATAAATGAAAATAATAAAGTGATTGCCAAACATTATGGAAGTCACTAAGATCTGTAGATTGTATTATATTGAGAGAAATCTTATGATTACTGAGCTTCATTACCTATTAGGGCTGTGCAGCATTTCAGTTTCAAGGGCACTGGTGCACATGAGAGCACTAATGTAGCATCTGTCCTCATCTCCTTAAAGCAGCTGCATCTCAGGATTGCTCTCAGAAATTATTTTGACAAATTTATTCTGATTGTGGAAATAAAAGAGTGCATATGCTTCTATAAAGGTATCTTCTAGCATTACTGATCATACAACAACTTGTCTTTTCCTTTTTAATTGGGAAAGCAGAAATTGGTTATACTGTAAACAGACCTTAACATTTAGTGTCCGAGACTGTAAAATATAAATCTGGTTTAGAAACATCCTACTTGCCATGATAAATGTATCACTTGAAACCACTGTCATTAAAGAGGTTTCCATGTGACAATTTGACCCCTCTTTGATTAGATGTCTTGCAAAGACCTATGGAAAGCTTTTCCCAACAATATCATCTGTATTTACTGCTTGAGAGTGGTTTCTTTCCTTGCTGTGAACAAATGCAGCCAGGCTCTAAGCAAGGGCTAATTTCTACACTTCACTATTTGATAGGTTGATCGGAAGAAGCATAAGTCAGCTCTGATTTTTCCTGCAACGGCTGCAGTCAGGTCAATGTAAGAAAGCTCTGAGTGTTTGGTGAGCGGAATGAAACAGGCCATGAGGAAGTCCCTTATAATATTGATTCAACTGTGGTACCTTTAACCCTTTCCAAGATAACCTCCCATTTTGAAGATCTTTCCAACAGCATATTTTCAGTCACATGAATTGCCAAGGGTGTCCTGAAGAATGTGTATTTTCCCGAGAAAACACCATAACATTAATTTCATATATTTACATATAAAAATGATTCCAATAAACCAAAGGATCATTTTTTCTTTTTCTTCTATGTGTAACAAAATGAACACATAAATTTATTCTCTTACTGAGGCTCGGTGGTGTCTTAGGAACAGTGGGAGTTTTTGAAGGGATCCGAGACACACTGGCCGGGCTCTTCTGATTCTGTGCCACAGCAGCGCGTGGGGCTGCTATCTTCGATGCACTTTTCATATCTGGACCCTGTAGATACATTAAGAAAGGGAAGAGTTACTATACTGCTAGTGAAGTTTTTAAAAAAGAACAAAAAATAGCTAAAATGCCTCCTATCTTTACGTGGTTTTCAGTCCCCTAAATAAATAAGTTTTCACTTAATGTTGTATGTACTTACTATGATATTACATTTGGATTTTATGCTTTCTGAGTACAAAATGTTTTACTTGCTTTTTCTTCTTTAATTAGTAACCTTGTGAGAGAAATCGCTAATCGTTCTTAGAGGGAATCAAATGTACCTAAACCAAATCAACTTGATGAGGTCTAACAGGCTGCAGTATATCCATTCTCTACATTAATTCCATAGGGTTGTTTTTTTTTCCTGCAACACTGAAATCGGAAACCTAGAAACAGATGACAGTATGACTATTGGCTCTCTATAGTTGAGGGTGACATTATTTTCTCGACTTTTGAAAAACCTGAACAACATTAAATCAAATTTGGGTATAATTAGAGAAGCTAGTTTCAAAAAGATCTATCAGCCTTTTTTTCATTCTACGTCTTTACTGCGAAGCTTGGCAATTGCCAATTTGCTCAAACAGCAAATTCCCACTGAAGAGCATAACTGGCAGTTACTAAATAGAAGCTTCCTTGGCTTCAAATGAATTTAAGGCATTATTTAACTATGTCAAGAAAATGTCAAGAAGTATTTCTAAATTCAGTTATAAAGAGTTGGTGGTCAATGCTAGCCTAGTCACTCAAATGGCAGAGAGTTTGCATTAGCAAGAGATTACTAAATGAGTAACCATGGTGTGACATAATCTATTGAAAAATAATCTTCAGCCTCCAGCCAACAGCAGACTCAGTAACACTGAATATAAGTTTATAAACCAAGTGGCAAATTCAAATAGGAATGAAATAATGCTCCCTCCCTTCTCCCCTGCTTTTCTTTTAAAGTAATTCCTTACCTTGCTGTTTTTTTCTTTTATTCCTGTACTGGTTGATCGGGAGGCGATAGAAGAGATGCATTTAGGGGTGGAAGAGGAGGACTTGGAAGGACTGGAGGGTTTTTTCAAGGGGATAGAACTAATAGAGGAGTTGCGTTTGGGGGTAATGGAAGATCTACCTTGCGAGATTTTGATAGAGGAAGGTATAGATGTCTTTAAAACAAATAAAATCAAACCAAGGGTTAGCGTGGAAAGGGGGGGAAAAGCAATAAACGTAAAAAGAAGATGGTTAAAGTAAAATAAGAATGACTGCTGAGTTAACCATACTGGAATCAAACTAAAAGTTAAATGAAACTATTATTTTCTCCTGACTACAAAAACATAACAAAGGCATATATCCCAGCCCCTTACCCATATTTAAGGAACATCTCACTTTTACAAGGAACATCTCAGGATCTGCAAGTATTTATCAAATTACAGTAAATTTTCAAATGTTCTATTAATTATGTCCATGCTATTAATTATTATTATAAGGTTGCACAATTATAAGCAAGATGATATTTCTCTCCATTCCACAACAAAACCAATAAACAGCCAGGGTTTTTTTTACATTTATTAATGTGGCTCATATAATGTGTCTGAATGATTTTCCTTTTGTACCTATGCTAATTTCAGAAAACTTTTCTGGGGCAAATCATTGCAATATTATCGTTGAAATAGACATTTGGAGGTTCCTATTATGGTTGGGTTCATTCTAGTAATTACATGATCAGCAAATGTTTGATAGTTAAGAGGAAAACTAATTTTAATAGGGACATTTTAGAACTATAAAATTTAAAAAAAACAAGCATTAAATAATTCAGCTAATACAAGACTGCAGCTCTTCCAGTCATGGTTCTTGTCTGGGCTGTTATGTGTCTATAAAACCTGTCCTCCTTTTGAGCCCTATATAAGCAGATTCTATTATTCCTAATTGTACTTTGCAAATGTCAATCACAAGACAAGTCATGAAATCACCTGTACAGCAGAAAAAAGCTGTACAATATTCTTTATTATATGTCCTGTCCAGCTTGTTCTATCCCGGCCCATACTAATTACAGTGGTAGGTTAAACTACAGCAGCACTTTGTTGTTTAGAAAATAAAAATGGCTATTTTGATGCATAGGAAAACAATTTGTTGTTAAGAGATTCTTGTTTCAGATTATGAACTTCTTTTCAAAGGGGGAGAGAGGGGAATTCAGATGAGTTAATAGTAGAACTGGAGAAAGTATCCAGATTTCAAAACAACTTTCTGGATAATCAAATACCAAAAATACATTTAAAGTTTTTTCCTGTCATCACATAGAAAACAGCCTGCTCTCAGAAGAAAAATGTTTCACGAGAGGGGAACAAAAGGGGAAAAAGAATACCTATGATAACCCACTTGTCAGCTTACCTTCGGTTTTGGTTCTTCAGTCCCAATTTCATTTTTATCTCTGCTGTCAATGTGAGCTGAAATAAAAGGGAAAAGCCCTATACTTAGTATGCTTTCTGGGAGAGATAAGTGAAGCAATAAATTATAAAATAAATTTGGAATATAACAAACTATTTGGGCAACTATCACACGCAATTCTCCTTTCTCATTTTAATGCAAACAGCAAGCATGCTTTGTCTAGCATTAAATACTCCGGAAAATATTTTTTTTTAAAAACCCAGCAAAAATCAAGCCAGCTGTATTGAGAACACAAAATACTGTGTTCCCAACCAACTGAAACCATTTTTGGCAACTCCTCCAATGTTTTTGTGTGAAGCTCTGTTTGCAAAGTGATGTCAAGAGCTGGCAAGATCACTTTGTGTCTTTAATGACTATAGCAATGGAGCAGCCTATCAGTATCTTGTCATTTTTTAATACAAATGGATGTAATGCTTTATCTGCTTGTAACTCCTTGAAAAGAGAGCAAAGCAGTTTGAAGGTATTCCATTTTACATTAGAGTAGTCTTCCTTCTCTGTATAAAAAAAACCTATGCACCGTCAGAAGCATATAATTGGGATAATAAAGGAAGTTTTTTGGGGGGGATCATGATGTTTCACAAGCATAATTATTCCCAATAGCTTTGCCTCCTCTGGGCCAGTCTGGATCTTATGGTAAAGCTTAGCTTGGTAGAGCATTTAATAGGGCAGCCATTGTTAGAAAAGGGCTACTGCCTTCATGCTGTATCTTGGTTCAAGGAATCAGCTGGATTTCAGGAAATAAAGTTTTTGTGGCCCACTCATCTAATCTAACCAGTGGTTTTACATCAAAAGATTTCACAATGCTTAAGCCAATTTCATTGCAGACAGATTATTTTTAGACCATTTGTAATTCAAGATTTTTTTTCTTTATGCAGCTGAACCAAAGTTAGAAAATAACCCTACTGCTGATTACTAAAGGAATAATTTAACTCAGTTTAAATTTACCAAGTTGTGTTTCACGGATGAGAATAGTACACATATTTAATTCTACCACTGTAACAAAGAAGGTTCATTAGCTGTTTGCATTATATGCATTATAATATAGTGAAAGTAAATCCAAACTAATGCATTTTGCAGAACTGTCTTAGTATACAATATTTTATAATATAAAATAATAGATTTATAATATTAATGTAAAGCTTTAGTTTATTTTAGAGTTCAATATTAGAGAATGGAATTTCTGTCTACATTTTATTCTGCTTTCTTTAATTAATTGTTGCTTAAGATTTAATATCTGTAAAATACCAGTCCAGGTCCAAATTTTTAATTCAAGATTTCCTAACAATAGAGGTAGTATTATTTGACTAGATTCCTAATTCTTTAGAAAAATTAATAAATTGGGAAAAGTTGAGGAAGAGAAGAAAAATCATTCTCTCCAGTACACACCTGACAACTAAATAGTGCTCTCTTAAAAACTAAATTATTCAAAGGCTCAAACATTTTCTGTATTCGGTTACTACTTCTCAATAAGTTTGGGATCCAGTAGCTCAATTTACATAGTCTACTACTGAGTGAAATAAATAGTTGTCCAGAGGTTTAGAGTGCACTTTATAAAAATGGTCCGACTGATGGATGCCACTTTTAAAAATGTTTTATCCTTGACTCAAAATAGGGGGAAAAAGCCCCAAACAATACAAAAACAATTAAGTAGGGCTTAGTGGGGGGCAGAATGGACTATATGGCTAAAAGAAATAGGACTTACAAAAAGCCATATTGTGCCAAGGGAAAATATAGAATTATATTTGTCTATTCTATAAAACATAGTTTTGCTTACCTGTATAAGGTAATTTTAATGGTTATAGAATTAATTTTGTGCTTATAGAGTTGAAAAACATCTGCCAGCACTAAAATAAAAGCAGGCATTTTACCCTACCTCGTCTTAAGACTTTTCATATGTCATTTTCTGCTCAGTCCCTTCTCAAAAATGCAGCAATTTTTGTTCTCATTATTTTCCCCTATAGGCCTTTGATGAGCAGAGAGAAATCAAACAAAGATCTGTTTTGGAAAATGTGAAAAGGCTATATGACTGCATTGGAACATGCAGAATTATATTATAACTATTAATATTAGTAGCATTGTATTGGAAAGTAGAAGCTTGTCTTCTCCCTTAACAATGGATGACTGCAAATTTCTTTCATTCATTTCATTTCATTCATTCATTCATTCATTCACTCACTCACTCACTCATCCAATTTCTATAGCCATCCATCTCAGTCAATGGTTCTGGGTGGTATATAATTCAAAAAACATATTGCAATCAAAATACTAAAAACATTTTAAAAGAATAAAAACAATATACATAGCAGCCAAGATACTTGGCCTGATAGCAATACAATTGGGAAACGAGGCCCTTAACACATTCCGTGGCTCAGGCTTGAGAACATAGTCAGGTTTTTAGGGTTTTGTGAAAGGCTAACAGTGTTGGGGCCGTTCTAATATCTGAAGGAAGGATGGAAAGACTGTCTTCTAGTCCCTGCCAGCCAACACTCTTTTGCTGACGGGATCTACAGCATGCCTATGCGGCAAAATCTGGTTGGAGAGGTAGAGACTCTTGGGAAAAGATGATCTCTCACGTATCATGATCCCAAACCATGTAGGGCTTTAAGGGTAATTACCAACATCTTGAATTGTATTTGGAAACACACCAGTAGCCAATGCAACTCACACAAAACTGGTGTTATGTATGCCGTGTATCTGGCATCATTTACTATCTGTGCAACCACATTCTGCACCAGCTGAAGTTTCCAAATGGTAAATTTCCTTTCTGACAAATGCCTGAAAAACTAAGTGGCCATTTTTGTCTGTCCTGTAAACAATCTGTTCTACTGCTTATAAACATCTTTTCTGAGCTTTCCCAAAATATTTAAAATATTTTTTCAGGTGCAGACAGTGTCTAGATGAGATTATTTTTATCCTCACTTATCTTTTCTTGTCATTGTCTACAGCAATGTGCTAAGGATTCTTCTGCTCTAGATTTAACACAATTCCTTCCTCAAGAGAATGGCCCAGCACTGAATATCAGAAGGTAGAGAGGAATATTAACTTCTAGTGGAGACACCCTGGAGATGAAGGTTTACTCAAGCCCTACATGCTTTAATGACTTCACAATTAGACAAAAATTAATGAACATCAACTAGGAAAGGACAAAACAAGTACAGGTATAGCCTCTAGTATACCTTTGTTCAAACTGGGTGCTTTCCTTCAAACACAGAATTCTGAGCAAAGTCTATCCTGGCCAAAAAATTCAAAGAGCCCAGACTATGGAAGATCAACTTGAGGGCACAGTGGCTTATTGCTGAATACAATTTCTATCATCCATGAACCGGTACAATTGGCTACTTTGGCTTCTTGAACCAAATAGTGTCCTGTGTTCCAACTCTTCGTTGCATGAACCATAACACTTGTTCTCTTTTCTTTACTGTTTAAATCCTTGGATCTATTTGGACTTTTAATTTCTGAATCAGTTTACTGCTTCTGTATATCTTTCTGGCTTTCTCTTTGTGGAACAAGACCTAAAACAACATAACATCACAGCTGTTCCCAGCCCTGACCTTGATCAAAAACTGGACAAATTGCTGATTCAGGTTCTGTATCTTTTTTGGGCACCTGGAGGGCAGGAAGACTGGTTCACATTTTATCAATTCTTGACAGCCTCTGTCTGGCCTCTCTATTTTCCAGCACTCAATGGCAATGAGGCTGTGTATGAAAGCTCTATACTATCTTTCTCTTTTTTTTCCCTATGCAATATTTTTTTATCTCCTAATAGTCTAGACTATGGATCAACCTAAAAGAAAAATCTGCAAGAAATATATGGAAAGGCTCTATTTTCAATTAAGTAAGCTGGTTCCTAAATAAGGTTGGGTGTGGGGGTATGGTGTTCTTATTTTTATCTCATTTACATCATCATGAATTATTTCCACTCACTCCAAGTAATAACATAGTAACACAAAGCATTATCATGACAAAGAGATAGGAAGATAACACATAACACATACCCAGAAGTATTTATAATCACTTACAAACTTGGGGAAATGATTATTTCCTGAAGAAAAACTGAGTGCTACTGTAATACTTAATATAACCAACATCTCTTTAATCTAAAAGATTATTTGTTGAGCCTAAAAAAGTTGTAAGACTTTATTAATTTGAACTATTTCAAATATAAAGAAGAATGTAAAAATCAAGGGATCTATCTTTATACAATTGTTTTAATACAATTATTTCCATTATTACAAAATTAAAACTATTACAATTACTTTGAAATGATAAGTTTTGAATATGCCCATAAAAGCACCTCTTTATTTGATACGTCCAGCATCTTTATTTTTTAAAAAACAATTAACCAATCAAAGTTGGTAGCACTAATACAGCAGGATTATTTTCTAGCTATTGGAAACATATTTTAATAGCTGTAACTATTAATCTATTATGGCATTTACCACTTTATCTCTATGAAGCACAGTTTACTTCTTTTTATTTATTTTGTGACATGATTCACAGCTTCAGACAATTTGATCTAAATCATCATCTTACATTTTCCTTCATGTTGTCTACAATCATTTTCAAGATGGGTAGCCAAAATTCTAAGAGAGCACTGACACAGGGGGTAAATACAAAGAACTAATTTAACTGTAATGATCAACTGTGGCTTATCACTACCTCAAAAGCTTCAGATGTATGTTATTTCTTCTCCTTTGTGATTGTGAGCACAAGGATGATGTTTTTCTTTCCAATTTCATTTGACCAGTGTGGTCCTACTGTACAATTAAAGTCAATTATGTTTTGATGAAATAACTCAAATGTTTAAACTATGATGTAATTAGTTTCAATTAACCACAGCTAAGACTTAACAATCTGCCCAGGTTCAGGCATACACTGCAGTTTAATAAAACAAAGAAGCAAGTACATTTTGTAGACATGGTTGCTTTTAGTTCAGGTCTTGTTCCTCCCAAAAAACAATTCATTCCATAAAACCAAACTGAAAGTGAAACCTATCAATTAGGGAACACAAAATTCAACTGCATCTCTAACTGGCCAAGAATTTGGAAAGGTGAGTTGAAATAATGAATGGCAGAAGCTATGCTGTTCATAATGTAGGTTTATACTGCTCTTATTATTTACATTTATTTTTTGATTAACTTTGTCCAGTGCTTTTTTTATTTGTTCTATCTCTCTCTCTCTCTCTCTCATCACTAAAACAATACATAGCCTAAGCTAAGTCAGCAATTTCTAGGGGTCAAAACACTTTTTAGATATATAGGAAATAAACTTTACTGTGCTTACCTTGAGCATCCCCCGAAGCATGGTCTTCATGGTTAGGAGTACAAACTATGCCTGCTTCCTCAGCTAAATTTTCCAAATTAAAGATGGGGAAATGATTTCAACATTAAAAACAGAACAAGACAAATGTTTCTGTATTTTCAAATGATATGTGAATATTTGGAAATGCGTGGCAGTACATTTAAATGAAAATGAAATAAACTGATGAGAAACATTTCTACTGAAATAAATCACATTCTATTCATCAATTACAACATACACCTGAAGAAAAATGTAATAAAACTGACAGGGTTTACAGAAAATATTTAACTAAAAAGATATTGATCTGAACATTTATGAATACACCATTAATTTGCACAGCTAAGTATGTTGAAACTGAATGAAATCAATGAGCTTATAGGCTTTTTGGAAGATGCAAACTTTGTTTTGACAGTTTTTTTTTAACAAAGGCATTTTTGTATATTTTTATATAGACATGTAACAATATAGCATAGTCATGTTCAGCTGCAATTGAGTCAATATAATTTAGCTATGCTTATCTTCAGCTGGGTTAACTGAAAATTTTAAAAAGAAAATCAACATTTCCTTTGATTGCTAAAATTATCTGGAGAGTCTTGATCCAGATATTCATGGAATTTCAGAAAGCATGATTAAGAACTGTCAATGTATTTTGAATAAAATATGTTCGGCAATACATATAATGAAATATAATACTCTAATGATACTTCTATACTATACCATACTCTATATCATATATAATGCTTTATTATTGCCAAAGCTGGCTGGATAAAATTCTGAGAGTTGGAAGTCTACACATCTAAAAGTTGGTAAGATTGAGAAACACTGTTCTATTTTATTTCTGACTGCAGGGTTCTCATTAGGGCAGCAATACAAGTTGCAGCACAAAGGTCAAATCCTTTTTGGTGCCTCTTGTCATGCCGCTCCCCAACTTTAAACATCAGTAGTTCTGTGAACTTGCTCCTTTCAAAGGAATTATAGTGGAAGATATTCCTGGCTGTAATTTTCTCTAAACATCACTTCTTGATGAAAAGTATAAAGTAGCGAAGATTTGTTCCCAATAAAGCATATCTTTAAGCACTGAATCCCAGAGATTGCTGCTTACAATATTATTATAAATTTAAACTCAAAGTGCTTCCATTTCTTATGAGTCAACATCTGGAAGATTTTTTTCCTCCCCTTGATGGAAGAAACAATAAAATGTGTAGGGGGAAGGAGTGGTATTACAGTAAAAATGGTGTTGTATGAATCCTCTGTAAAATAAATAAAGGTTAGGTGTAGATTGCTTCCAGATGAGACACGTCTTGTGAAACCATCCAGCCTTGTTCATTTAATTTTTACTAGGACTGTTTCTAATATTTTTTCATTAATATCAGCAGACAAAGTAGGCATTTGCCCAAAAAAAGTTATCTAATAATTGATCGTGATTTCTTTGGTGACCAGAAAATCTCCCACACACAAAAAAAAACCTAGTAGGGAAAGAAAAAAAAGACAGGAGAGAGAAAGAGAGAGAGAGAGAGAGAGAGAGAGAGAGAGAGAGAGAGAAGGAGGAGGAGGAGGAGGAGAAAGAGGAGAAAGAAAGAAAGAAAGAAAGAAAGAAAGAAAGAAAGAAAGAAAGAAAGAAAGAAAGAAAGAAAGAAAGAAAGAAAGAAAGAAAGAAAGAAAGAAAGAAAGAAAGAAAGAAAGAAGGCAGGTTATACTTCTCATGTAAAGAATAAATCTAACTAGAATGTATCGTAAAAGTAAATACTGAAAGATGTTTTGTCACAAATCAGATACAAGATTGGTCCTTTTGTTATCTGACAAAGGGTACTCTAGAGTCTAAGACAGGCATGTCAAACTGCCGGCCCTCAGGCCAGATCCATCATACTGAAACCGCGCCCACCCCATTGCCAGCAATGGGGAAAAAGTCGCAATACGTCATGCAACATCACCTGACGTCGTGAGTTTGACATGCCTGGTCTAAGAGATTTCATAATCTTATATATCAATAGGAAAGGCATGAAAATGTAAATAAGAAAATAAATTACAGATAGTTCTCAACTTAGTTTAGTGGTTGTTTGAAGTTACAAGGACACTGAAAAACATTGCTTATGACTGTTTTTCACACAACCATTGCAACATCTCCATAGTCACGTGATCAAAATTCAGATAGTTGGCAACTGGTTCATATTTATGACATTTGCAGTATCCCGGGCTCATGTAATCACTTTTTGCAACCATCTGCTAAGCAAAGTCAACATGGAAGCTAGATTCACAACTGCAGTGGTACAGTTAACAACAGTGGCAAATAAGGTCATAAAATGGGATAAAATTCACTTAACTGCCTCACTTAGCAAAAGAAATTTTGGGCTCAATTGTGGTCATAAGTCAAGAACCTACGTAAAAAAGTCTAACTTTCTTTAAGGTTAAGGTTACGACACCAAGCTGGCAGGAACAGCCAACACTCCAGAAGACAGGCTTAGGATACAGGAGGATCTGGACAGACTTGAACACTGGGCGCTATCTAACAAAATGAAATTCAATGGTAAAAAAAGTAAGGTTCTACATTTAGGCAAGAAAAACCAAATGTACAGGTATAGTATAGGGGGTAACTTGCTCAATAGTAGTAACTGCAAGAGGGACCTCGGAGTCCTAGTGGACAATCATTTAAATATGAGCCAGCAGTGTGCTGCAGCTGCCAAAAAAGCCAACACAGTGCTAGGCTGCATTAACAGAGGGATAGAATCAAGATCACGTGAAGTATTAATACCACTTTACAATGCCTTGGTAAGGCCACACTTGGAATACTGCNGAAACTTCCTGACAGTTAGAACAATTAACCAGTGGAACAACCTGCCTCCAGAAGCGGTGAATGCGCCAACACTGGAAGTTTTTAAGAAGAAACTGGACAGCCATTTGTCCGAAATGGTATAGGGTTTCCTGCCTGAGCAGGGGGTTGGACTAGATGACCTCCGAGGTCCCTTCCAACTTTATCATCATCATCATCATCAACATCATCAATCATCATCATCATCATCATCATCATCATCATCATTATTATTATTATTATTATTATTATTATTATTATTATTATTATTATTATTATATAATGGATTTTGCACCTATATAAAATAAAATCCTTCGAACCAGCAGAAAACTGGCACTTAGCCCCTTCCTTTAAACAGACCTAGTAAGAAGATTTTATGTTAAGGACAGAACAGTATTATTCTGTTCAGTTTAACTTACATGTTCCTATCAAATCCTGCAATAGGATGGTTTATTTGACTAAATAGATTATTTTGAAAAAATATACAAATAAGCAACCTGCCTTTTCTCCTATATGCTTAATTCAGCTAGGAGATTATCACAATGACCTACAGGAAGATGGATGCAAAAACATCAAAAGAACAAGAAATCTGCACAGCTCTACTACAGAAACAGCTCATATGGATTTTTTTCGATAGGAAAAAAAATGGGTTAATGGCTGATTTCTGAGTTCAATAATGCACACTAGATAAGAATAAACAGATCTTGAGTGGCTTATATTTAGATCCATGGGGATATAAATTAGTGATGATTCTTAAATCCCATGGATTTCTAGTCTAATCCAAATGTGTTTACATTTGAAAAATTATTGAAGAAAAAAGTTCTCCCGATAGGATAAAAAGAATGTACAAAGTTTAAAAAGACATCATACAAAAAAAGCTCTTTCAACATCTTACTTAAGGAAGGGATGTTCTCCTTCACACTTGATAATAAGTAAGATAAAGAAGAAGATTCATGATTCAAATGTTCAAACTACCATTAGTTTAATGAAAAGTTGAGGTATATAAGGTACTTCACTTTGCCTCAGTAAAAAGTAATTATGATGATTATCCCATAGGACCCATGTTCAATATTTTGACCTGGGAAAAGTGCTAACAATAATGCAATCTTTTAAAAGTGAAAATATTCAATAACCATCAGTTTAATGGGAAGCCCCATTAAAGTTAGATAAAGTAACACAAACATATAACAGTTTCTACAATGGCAAACCAAGGAGAAGGTAATAGAAAGGAATCTATGGATGGGGTTCTAGATCAAGAATTACCAGGTGCCTCCTAAGTAATGAAGAGGTTAGAAGCATATTTATAGCTTTGACAGCATATCTTCATTTGTTACTTATGCATTTGAACATTTAACATTTCCAGTATAAAATTTCCTGTTGACAAATGTTCTGAATGAAGCAGACATAAGATTCACCTACCCTTCAGATGTGACAGCTGTATATTAATATTAATATTTTATAGATCCCACTGTAGTTGTATAATTACATATTTCATAGATAAAAAACAGTTCAGTTCTGCACTTCTCTCTTCCTCAGACTTTTTAGACTACATTATTCTATTTTAGTGCTTTAACATTATCTCTTTGGGCTATTTAAAGAATGCTTTTTTGTTGTAGTTTAAATGAATACAAAGCAATTGATGAACAGAAGACAAATGTCATACTGTAGTCCATTTATAACTCGGGACCTTGCATGAGAAGGAGACTCTATCAGAGTCTCCCTAAAGAATTAGAAGGAATCATAGAATTGTTTGCGTTAATCCTGTTTCTCTTAGTAGATTAGTAGATAACAGTACAGCAATTTTAGCAGAATTTATTGTTGAGAATTCCACCATTCATATTTAGATATTCAAATAAACAGATATGAATCACTATATCATTCAGAGCTTGCACCAATGATTCCAACTATGAAGACAGAATAAGCGGTAAACCATTAAGTGTTTTGCCTTCACAGCACAGTGCAGAGACAGGATCTAAGGAGAAGGGAGATGTAGCTGGCAATGTCTCTTTCAACTAACAGCAGATGATTTGATCTACAGAATCTTGACTGCATGTGGATTTGAAAGTAGAATTATTAATTCAAGATAAAAATCACACAGGGCAAAAATGAAGATCGCTACCAGTGACTAAAGGCGGAGTCTTCATTTTTCACAAATGAAGATACCAGTGAACAGCCCTTTATTTGATGAAGTTGCAAATATCAAAAATAGTATGCTTGAAGAAGATTAACTGGGTAATAT